ATGGTGAAACCCCGTCTCTACTAAAAAATACAAAAAACTAGCCAGGCGAGGTGGCGGGCGCCTGTAGTCCCAGCTACTCGGGAGGCTGAGGCAGGAGAATGGCGTAAACCCGGGAGGCGGAGCTTGCAGTGAGCTGAGATCCGGCCACTGCAGTCCAGCCTGGGTGACAGAGTGAGACTCCGTCTCAAAAAATAAATAAATAAAATAAAAATACAAAAATTAGCCAGGCATGGTGACACGTGCCTGTAGTCCCAGCTACTTAGGAGGTTCAGGCCGGAGAATTGCTTAAACCTGGGAGTTGGAGGTTGCAGTGAGCCGAGATCGCACCACTGCACTCCAACCTGGGGACAGAGCCAGACTCCATCTCAAAAAAAAAAAAAAAAAAAAAAGACAGTCCTGTGGAATCAGTCATTTAAAGATTGGGGAGAGAGAAAACCAGAGGGCTGAGGTATTGCTGAAGGCTTCAAGAGGAAGGCTCAGCAGCAGAGATGACATGGTGAGACTGGTGCCAGGATGGAGGTCACATCAGTGGACAAAGGTGTCAGCAAGTAAGTGGCAATGCCCCACGCTAGAAGCCCAGGTGACTGCCATCGGATGGGAGAGGCATGTTCAAGAACGCTGGGCTCCTAGCTCCTCTACTCCCCGTCTCTCAAGCCCAAGATTTCCACCTTGCTTGTTTCCGTCCTGTCAGAATTAGAAACAAGTGATATAGTAGCTCTTAATTGGGGGATGGGGCATGGCTCCCTTTGAGAATCCTATAAAAACTATAAGCCCCTCCCATTAAAATGTGCACATTAGCCCACGCCTGTCCTGTTGTGCGCGCAGTTCCCCTTGCTAGGACTCAAACTCAGACTTCCTCCCATTATTGCCTCTAATCCTGCATTCATTCCCTCCCTTTCTCCCACAGAACCTTTTTTTTTCTTTTTTTTCGAGACAGGAGGCTTGCTCCGTTGCCCAGGCTGGAGGGCACTGGTGCAGTCTCGGCTCACTGCAACCTCCACCTCTCAGGTTCATGCGATTCTCCTGCCTCAGCCTCCCAAATAGCTGAGATTAGGTGCCTGCCACCATGCCAGGCTAATTTTTGTATTTTTAGTAGAGACAGGTTTTCACCATGTTGGCCAGGCTGGTCTCGAACTTCTGACCTCAGGTGATGCGCCCGCCTCAGCCTCCGAAAGTGCTGGGACTATAGGCGTGAGGCACCGCACCAGGCCCTCTTTAAATTTTTTTAGAGACAGTGACTTGCCCTGTTGCACAGGCTGGAGGATACAGTGGTGCAGTCTTGGCTCACTGCAGCCTCGATCTCCCAGGTTAAGGAATCCTCTCACCTAGGCCTCCAAAGTAGCTGGTACTACAAGTGTGTGTCACCACGCATGGCTAACTTAAAGTTTTTTTTTGTAGAGATGGTGTCAATATGTTGCCCTGACTGGTCTCAAACGCCTGGGCTCAGCCAATCCTCCTTCCTTGACCTCCTGAAATGCTGGGATTGCAGGCATGAGCCACTGTGCCTGGCCAATGGTCTTTGAGGATGAAGAATTTTAGCCAGAACCTGAAGGATATATCTGGCTCTATTTAGATTTGAAAATACATAATGTCTCAAGAAAAGCAAAACAAAACGCCTCACTGAAGGAAACAGGGTTAGTGTGATATATGGGTGATTTTTTTTTTTCCTTTTCTCCTAAAGACTTTCATTCATAGGATTGTCCTTGATTCTCGCCCATCAGCAAACACTGGTAGGCTCCACCTTCAAGACTTATCCAGAATCAGACCACCTCACCTCATCTACTGCAGCCTCCCTGGGCAGGGCCTGGCCTCCTTCAGTCTGTTCTCACCACACAGCCACCAAAGGGATCCTTTTATTTTGATTGATTGATTGATTGATTGATATGGGGTGTGACTCTGTCAGCAGGCGGGAGTGCAATGGCACGATCTCACCTCACTGCAATCTCTGCCTCCTGGACTCAAGCAGTCCTCCCACCGCTGTCTCCCGAGTAGCTGGGACCACAGGTGCACGCCACCACACCCAGTTAACCTTTTTGTATTTTTAGTAGAGATGGGGTTTCACCATTTTGCCCAGGATGGTCTCAAACTCTTAAGCTCAAGCAGTCTACCCACCTCAGCTTCTCACAGTGCTGGGATTACAGGTATGGGTCACCACGCCCAGCGCCTTTTAAAAGCACGGTTGGATCATAGCATTTATCTGCTCATAACAATGGCTTTTGCTTCCCTGCTCACTCAAAAGAAATTCCTTCTTCACTGCAGAACTGGCCCTCCTACCACAGGATGTTTAGGGTCCCTGGCTGCAACCCCCAAAGGTCCTAATGGTGCTGGTCGTGGGGGAATCCGCACCATTGTGACAACTGAATATGCCCACATGATGCCCAAGGTTTCAGTCCTGGCCACACCCCTTCCACCGTGTCACCGTGCTGGGTTGGTTTCTTCATCTAAAAAATGGCGATGGGGATAACAAACTTGAAAAAGGGTCATGTGAGTGAGGTGTCCAGCATTGGGGGGTGTCCGGCATCGGGGGGTGTCCATCATCGGGGGGTGTCCATCATCGGGGGGTGTCCGGCATCGGGGGGTGTCCATCATCGGGGAGTGTCCCGCATCGGGGGGTGTCCGGCATCGGGGAGTGTCCATCATCGGGGGGTGTCCGGCATTGGGGGGTGTCCGGCATCGGGGAGGCGTCCGGCATCGGGGGGTGTCCGGCATCGGGGAGGCGTCCGGCATCGGGGGGTGTCCGGCATCGGGGGGGGGCCGGCATCGGGGGGTGTCCATCATCGGGGGGTGTCCGGCATCGGGGGGTGTCCGGCATCGGGGAGGTGTCCGGCATCAGGGGGTGTCCATCATCGGGGGGTGTCCGGCATCGGGGGGTGTCCGGCATCGGGGGGTGTCCATCATCGGGGGGTGTCCGGCATCGGGGGGTGTCCGGCATCGGGGAGGTGTCCGGCATCGGGGAGGTGTCCGGCATCGGGGGAGTGTCCATCATCGGGGGGTGTCCGGCATCGGGGAGGTGTCCGGCATCGGGGAGGTGTCCGGCATCGGGGGGTGTCTGGCATCGGGGGGTGTCCATCATCGGTGGGTGTCCGGCATCGGGGAGGTGTCCGGCATCGGGGGGTGTCCGGCATCGGGGGGTGTCCATCATCGGGGGGTGTCCGGCATCGGGGGGTGTCTGGCATCGGGGGGTGTCCGGCATCGGGAGTACTTAATAAAGGGTCCCCATTGATACCAGCTGAGGCATAAGCAAACTCCACTGCTCCTATTATCTGCACCTGAAGATTTGCACCTTGCGTGTATGTGGATCCTTTTCCAATTTCTTCTGTATTAAACATTCTTTCCTGTATCAGAAAGTAAGGTTATGGGTTGGAGCTAAAAATCTGCCCTTCGATCCGTCCCCCCGATAGAGTGCTTTGCTGGCCATAAGGATGGGCTGCAGACAGCAGCTCCCTTTCTTTCACTGCCGCCCCCAGCTCCTCTCTTTCACTGCAGGCTGTGTGAATCAGGCTCCAACATTTCCACTGTGTGATCCTAGATCAGTGTGTGAACCTCCCAGAGTTTCCGTCTCTGCAGATGGATGTGCTGACAGCCCCTGCCATAGGGCTGAGCTGAAGGGCAAATGAGACAGTGAGGGCAAAGGGAGCCTGGTGCCAGGCATGTGCCAGGCATTCAGCAGTGGCTAGCCATGGTAGCCTGTCCCTAAAGTCCTGGGCACCACGTCCCCCCCCCCTCAGTTCCTTCTGGCTTTACTTCAGGAGCTGGATTCCCTCCTCCTGCCAGAAAAATCCAGCTCATACTGCCTAAAGCACAAATTCTCACACCAACCACTAGGTTCTGCCAGGTCCTGGCCAGTCCCAACACCATGAAGCAGGAGGGCAGGCGAATTTGAGCAGAGATTGTTTCTGTTTGGCATCAGCCTCTGCCAATGCCCAGGAAAGCTGGAATGCTCTCCTGCAAGGGTGACATTTCCCCACACGCTAAACATTGTCTTTTTTTTTTGAGACGGAGTCTTGCTCTGTCACCCAGGCTGGAGTGCAGTGGCGTGATTTCAACTCACTGCAACCTCCGCCTGCTGGGTTCAAGCGATTCTCCTGCCTCAGCCTCCCAAGTAGCTGGGACTACAGGCATGTGCCACCATGCCCAGCTAATTTTCTTTTGTATTTTTAGTAGAGACGGGGTTTTGCCATGTTGGCCAGGCTGGTCTCAAACTCCTGACCTCAGACGATCCACCTGCCTCAGCCTCCCAAAATGCTAGGATTACAGGCGTGAGCCACCATGCCCGGACAATTCTGTCTTTTGATGGAACAACAGAAGCTTAGACTCCAGACTCCAGTTACTTTTTTTTTTGAGACAGGGTCTTGCTCTGTCACCCAGACTGGGGTGCAATGGAGCAATCACAGCTCACCTCAGCCTCAACCTCCCTGGGCTCAAAGCAACCCTGCCATCTCAGCCTCCTGAGAGGCTGAGAATACAGGTGTGCACCACCACGCCCAGCTAAAATTTTTTTTGTATTTTGTTTCGCTATTGCCAGGCTGGTCTTGAACTCCTGAGCTCAAGCAATCAGCCTGCCTCAGCCTCCCAAAGTGCTAGTGCTAGGATTACAGGTGTGTGCCACCACACCTGGCTAGGCTCCATTTTTTTTTTTTTTTTTTTTTTTTTTGGTGGAGACGGAGTCTTGCTGTGTCGCCCAGGCTGGAGTACAGTGGTGTGATCTCAGCTCACTGCAACTTCTGCCTCCTGGGTTCAAGCAATTCTCCTGTCTCAGCCTCCCAAGTAGCTGGGACTACAGGTGTCCACCACCATGCCTGGCTAATTTTTGTATTTTTAGTAGAGACAGGGTTTCACTCTATTGGCCAGGCTGGTCTCGAACTCCTGACCTCAGGTGATCTGCCCACCTCAGCCTCCCAAAGTGCTGGGATTACAGGTGTGAGCCACCATGCCTGGCCAGCTCCATTTACTTCTTGAGGAACTCATGGTTCTCTTTTTAGTCACTTTGGTCACAGAGAGATTATTTAACATCATTTAATAAAAATAGTAGTGCAAACAGGAAAGTAGCATAAAAATACAGTGTTGCTGTGGAAGGCTGGTGCTTGCTGCTGAGAAGCTGAAGCCAGAGGAGGCCAGGTGTGAGGAAGGAGGATTCTTTAAAGGCAAGGAGAGAGGCCTGCCTTTAAGAGCTGAGAGAGCCACTCATCCATGACCCCCAACACGGAGCTCTGCAGAACTGCTGCCAAACCCCAAACCCCAATGTAAGGGGGTGAGAGAATGAACTCCAGCCACTTCTCCCAACAGGGCCCAACAGAGCTATTCTGGGACATGTATGTTTGCAATCTTGTGTGTGGAGAGCACCCAAAGGCTCATCAGCAGCCTCAGGCCTCCATGCGGTCTGGTTTTCAGACTGGCATCTGCAGGCAGTGCATCTGAAGCACCTTCTAGTTACTGTCCCCATCTGGAATCTTGGTTTTCTCCATTCCATGTCACCTTCTATTGCCAACCCAAGGGTGCCAGTGCCTGTGGGTCCCATTATATGATACTCTCTCCCAGGACCGAATCCACTAGTCTGGGCAAAAAAAAAAAAAAAAAGCACTTAGCTACATCCTACTCCCCAATAAATGTCTCTGGGGTGTTCATTTTCTCTTCCGGCTAATCCTCAGTTCATCCAGTTCCTTCTCCATTAAGTGGGATTCGGCAGTGGACTCCGAAAGCTGAAAGTAAAGCAGCAGCTGTTAGTAAGCAGCACATTTCTAGATGTTTCATGTTGGCAAGGCCGGCCCTACACGTGGAGGAAAGGCCCCCTGGCACTTCTCTGGCACTGCTGGCCTCCATGGTGGGAAACCCTCTGAAACGGGGTAGAATGCAACCCCGGATGGCCCAGGACCACAAGTCCTTGAAGAATATTCACAGTCCACTCTGTCAGCACGCTGTCACCCACGAGGGCATGGCACTCCCTGCACGAAGGACAGCAGGTCTCAGAGGATGTCAAAGGCAGATACTGGTGATTCTAAGGCTAAGGGATTACAGTTTAAATTGATTCTAAGCTGTAGCTCCCATAAGGGGGATTAGGGGAGAAAATGCTGGAAAAAGAACGCCACTCTCCTCCTTAGGGTTTTTTTGTTTTTGTTTTTTGGTTTGTTTTTTGAGACAGGGTCTCACTCTGTCGGCCAGGCTGGGTGCTTTGCTTGTACTAACTCACTGTAAGGTAGATACTATGATTATGCTCATTTTTTAAAAAAAATCCAGGCCGGGCACGGTGGCTCACGCCTGTAGTCTCAGGACTTTGGGAGGCTGAGACAGGGAGATCACCTGAGGTCAGGAGTTGGAGACCAACCTGGCCAACATGGTGAAACCCCATCTCTACTAAAAATGCAAAAGTTAGCCGGGCATGGTGGCGAGTGCTCATCGGGAGGTTGAGGCAGGAGAATCACTTGAACCCAGGAGGCAGAGGTTTCAGTGTGCAGAGATCACGCCACTGCACTCCAGCCCAGGCTACAGAGCAAGACTCTGTCTTAAATAAATAAATAGGTAAATAAAAATAAAAAACCATCCAGCCTAAAATGTCAGTCTTTTTCTTTTTTTTTTTTCCCCGAGACGGAGTCTCACTCTGTCACCCAGGCTGGAGTGCAATGGCATAATCTCAGCCCACTGCAACCTCTGCCTCCTGGGTTCAAGCAATTCTCCTGCCTCAGCTTCCTGAGTAGCTGGGATTACCGGTGCATGCCACCACACTCGGCTAATTTTTGTATTTTTAGTAGAGACAGAGTTTCACCATGTTGGTCAAGCTGGTTTTGAACTACTGACCTTGTGACCCGTCCACCTCGGCCTCCCAAAATGCTAGGATTACAGGTGTGAGCCATCATGCCCAGCCTAGTTCTTTTTTTTTTTTTAAAAAAAAAAAGGGTCTTACTTTGTTGCCAAAGCTGGTCTCAAACTCCTGAGGTTAAGCCATCCTCCTGTCTTAGTCTCCTGAGTAGCTGGGACTACAGGGGTGTACCACCACAATTAGCTATTATGCCATTTATTGCTGAAGAAATTAAGTCACAGAGCAGTCAGTCAGCAGCAGAGCTGGGCGAGGAACCCAGGCCATTTTGCTCCAGAGTGTGTGCTCTTCACCACTACAGTGCGTGCTCTCCTGCCTCTGAACCTTCACAGGCTCCTCTAGGCCCAGTGGGTTGCTGGATTTTTAACAGTCACAAGAAACCAATGCTAATGCAGTGTGAGCCCCTCAGCAGGTCTGTGCTGGGCACTGATTAATGCCTACTTGGTATGAGACACTTCCAAGCCATGAGCCAGCTCTTCCCCTCTTCCTGGAATGCCTTCATCCAACCTCCATTCCTGCCATTATCCTTCCACATTCAGCTCAGATATCCCTTCCTCTGGGAAGCTCTCCTGACTTGACAGAATTAACTTCTCGCTCGTGTGCTATGCAGATCCTGTGCAGACTTCAACTGGGTCCTCACCACTCTAATTATGCTTACGGTTCACCTGCCTGTACACTGTGAGGGCAGGAACTGTGTCTTGTTTCTTGAGTGTGTCTTTGGACACAAGGCAACATACCTGGCCAAACTGGCATTGAGGAGATATCTGTTGGATTAAATGACTCGAGGTGGAGCCTCCCCAAAAGAAGAAGCTAGGCATCTCTTGCCCGTCACCTGCCTCACCATGTCTAACAGGATGTCCACTTTCAGCCGCAAGAGATTGTTCTCTTCCTCCAACTGCTGGTTCCGCCTGCGAAGGCGCTGAACCTCCCTCCGGTCCACACCGCCACTAACCCCTGTCTCTGGAGGAAGGACAGAACTAGTTAAAGGAGGGCTTCCTCCTACAATCTTGTTTGACAAAATGGCAGGAAGTGCAGCTCACCTGCTATCCACTGGCCATTTTCAAACTTCAGGCTTTGCCCTGCCAGGTTCATAGTGGGGGATCCATATTCCAAGCCCAGCTCCACCTCCCGGGCTGACCGATCCAACTGTGGGTGAGATGCTACGTGACGACTTCAGCAGGCCCAGAACACGCCCTCATCCCAGTTCCTCTTCCGCCAACAATATGACCCCAACAACTCATTTCTCTAATCATTACCTGGCACGTTTAATGATTTTTTTAAAGGCCATAAAATCAAATGATGTACAGCAAAAGTTTAATTATGAGATAAAAAATATACTGTTTTATACATTAGATGTTTCTAGAAAAGCTATATATGCTGAAATGTATAAATTGATTATTATTATTATTTTTTTTTTTTTTTTGAGATGGAGTCTTGCTCTGTTGCCCAGGCTGGAGTGCAGTGGCCGGATCTCAGCTCACTGCAAGCTCCGCCTCCCGGGTTCACGCCATTCTCCTGCCTCAGCCTCCTGAGTAGCTGGGACTACAGGTGCCCACCACCTCGCCCGGCTAGTTTTTTGTATTTTTTAGTAGAGACGGGGTTTCACCGTGTTAGCCAGGATGGTCTCAATCTCCTGACCTCGTGATCTGCCAGTCTCGGCCTTCCAAAGTGCTGGGATTACAGGCTTGAGCCACCGCGCCCGGCCTAAATTGAATTATTTTACACCTAGTTGACATTTAATAGTTTAAGCAGTCCTACTATAAATTGTTAAGTAAAAGATCCTTTTTAAATATAATAAGTTTCATTTGCTTAATATGGAGCTACATATGTTGTGGAAAAGACATAAAATTCTAACAATTAGGAGGAGGAGGAGTTGCTTCTTAACATGCGAGAGTACAATTTATATATTCATTTCTTTTCTTTCCTTTCTTTTTTTTGTTTGAGATGGAGTTTCGCTCTGTCACCCAGGCTAGAGTACAGTGGCGCCATCTCAGTTCACTGCAGTCTCTGCCTCCCAAGTTCAAGTGATCCTCCCATCTCAGCCTCCAAATAGCTGAGACTACAGGCATGTGCCACCATACCCAGCTAATTTATTATTATTATTATTTTTTTTTTTTTTTTTTGAGACGGAGTCTGGCTCTGTCGCCCGGGCTGGAGTGCAGTGGCCGGATCTCAGCTCACTGCAAGCTCCGCCCCGCGGGTTTACGCCATTCTCCTGCCTCAGCCTCCCGAGTAGCTGGGACTACAGGCGCCCGCCGCCTCGCCCGGCTAGTTTTTTGTATTTTTTTTTTTTAGTAGAGACGGGGTTTCACCGTGTTCGCCAGGATGGTCTCGATCTCCTGACCTAGTGATCCGCCCGTCTCGGCCTCCCAAAGTGCTGGGATTACAGGCTTGAGCCACCGCGCCCGGCCTATTATTATTATTTTTATTTTTTATTTTTTTTAAACGGAGTCTCACTCTTTCGCCCAGGCTGGAGTGCAGTGGCGCAGTCTTGGCTCACTGCAACCTCTGCCTCCCAGGTTCAAGTGATTCTCCTGCCTCAACTTCCCCAGTAGCTGGGACTACAGATGTGCGCCACCACACCCAGCTGATTTTTGTATTTTTTAGTAGAGACGGGGTTGCACCATATTGGCCAGGCTGGTCTCGAACTCCTGGCCTTGTGATCTGCCCACCTCAGCCTCCCAGAGTGCTGGATTACAGGCGTAAGTCACCGCACCCAGCCTAATTTTTGTATTTTTTAAAGTAGAGTCAGAGTTTCACCACATCGGCCAGGCTGGTCTTGAACTCCTGACCTCAAGTGATGTGCCCACCTCAGCTTCCTAAAGTGCTGGGATCACAGGCATGAGCCACCGCGCCCGGCCTGTATATTCATTTCTACAACTCACTGAGCACGCATCCCGATTCAGGACTCGGTATTGGGTATCCAGGGATGGGAATGACCAGCTCTGCCCTCAACCAGCTCTGCCCCTGCTCAACAGGGGGAGACCTTCAGGTAAGTGCTCAAATGTCCCTTTCTCAGTCAGGCCTTCCTGACCACCCTGTTGAAAATGACAGCTCCATCCCCAGTGTTCAGCCACACCCCATCCCAGGCCTATGCTTTGTTTTGCTGTCTGGCATGTATCACCATCTGATATAAATTAGCTTATTTTCTGTAGCCTTCCATTAAAATATCTGCCCCATGAAAGCAGGGATTTGATGTTTTCCCTCTCCCCTCCTTCATCCACTTCTGCATGCCCAGTGCTTAGGAGAGTGCCTGGCACACAGAAAGGTATCAATCAATAGCTCTTGAATTAATAGAGAAGAACATTCTAGGCAAAAGGAGTAGCGTGCACAGAGGAGGCTCACACGGGGCTTGGGCAGCTGCAGCACAGGGTGTGCAGAGGGCAAGGGCAGGAAGGAGAGCTGGAGTGAGGCCACCAAGGGTCATCTGTGCTGCTCCCAAGATCTGGGTCGTTATCCTATAATAATGGGGAACTAATAAAATCCACCAGAGACCACACAGAGTGCTGTGGAGGCCTTTTTCCCTCCCAAGGCTTACAAGTACCTGTCAGAATGTGGAAAACAATGTAGGGGAGGACCGACTTCAAGTCATGGTCAGAAACAGACGTCACGTAAGCACGCTGTTGCTCTTACGCTGTGTGGGGTTAGGACAGAGGATGTCCCAGAGGGACTGCCAGGTGTATCTGCATCTCTGACATGTGGCAGTGAGAAAAGGGAGCCTCAGGGGCACCAGAAACTGAGAGCCTAAGCCTCTGCCTGGCCTGCTCCACAGAATGCCCAGCTCTGGCCACAGCGGGGCTGCCCCCACCATGATTTTCACTGGGAACAGGAGACAGTAGACTCTGAGACCTGAAGCCTGTTTCGCTGGGAACAGGAGACAACAGACTCTGAGACCTGAAGCCTGGAATGAATGCTCAGCCCCCACAGCCTTGTTGTTCAACCCCGCTCGCCTTCTGTGAAGACATGGCCAGTCTGCACAGCCAGCTCTGTAGGAAAAGGTCACAGAATAAAGTAGAAGTCAAATTCGATAATACTGGCTGGGCACGGTGGCTCACGCCTGTAATCCTAGCACTTGGGGAGGCCGAGGCAGGTGGATCACCTGAGGTCAGCAGTTGGAGACCAGCCCGGCCAACATGGTGAATCCCTGTCTCTACTAAAAATACAAAAATGAGCCGGGCATGGTGGCGGGCAGTTGTAATCCTAGCTACTCAGGAGGCTGAGGAAGGAGAATCTCTTGAACCTGGGAGGTGGGGGTTGCATTGAGCCGAGATTGCACCACTGCACCTAGCCTGCGGGACGAGAGTGAGACTCCATCTCAAAAAAAAAAAAAAATTGGATATTTGGGATCAAATATCATAATGAGATTGTCTTCTGAGGTTCTTGGATAAATAAGCTCTGACAATCATTCCCAAACAAGAGTTCAAAAATGTTTTCTTTTTTTTTTTTTTGAGATGGAGTCTCGCTCTGTCGCCCAGGCTGGAGTGCAGTGGCGCAATCTCGGCTCACTGCAAGCTCCGCCTCCCGGGTTCACGACATTCTCCTGCCTCAGCCTCCCAAATAGCTGGGACTAGAGGCGCCCGCCACCACGCCCAGCTAATTTTTTTGTATTTTTAGTAGAGACGGGGTTTCACCATGTTAGCCAGGATGGTCTTGATCTCCTGACCTCGTGATCCGCCGGCCTCTGCCTCCCAAAGTGCTGGGATTACAGGCGTGAGCCACCGCGCCCGGCCCAAAAATGTTTTCAGCAATAGCAATGATATGGAGGGAAAGGATGCCCTCCTGCACCGATGCCTCTGGAGGACCACACTTTCCATTCAGAGACACGCTCAGAACTCAACTCACGCTGCACACCGGGCCGACCCCAGTACCAACACTCACAGAATGCAGGTTGGAGAGAGATGCCGACTTCCGAGGAGGTGTCTTCTTCGGACTGAACGTATTCCCAAAGAAAGGCATCTTTGGCCTGATGAAAGCAAAGCCAACGCTCCCTTCTCCTAGGATCAGAAAAAGTCAGGGGTACAAACAGCTGGATCATTGACCTTACGCCATTGTCCTCAAATCTTTAAGACATACATTTTATCATGTAGCTACTAATGATCCTGGTGCTATGGTTTGAATGTCCCCACCAAAACTCATGTTGAAATTGAATTGCCATTGTTTAACAGTATAACAGGTGACTGGGCCACGTGAGCTCTGCTGTCATGAATGGATTAATGCCATTGTCATGGAGTAGGTTAGTCTTCTCGGGAGTGGGCTCCTGGTAAAAGGATGAGTTCTGCTGCCATGCCATCTGTCTCGTGCACTTGCTCACCATGTGAGCCTTCTGCCTTACACAGAATGACCCTCACCAGATATCTGCACCACGCTCTTGGACTTCCCAGCCTCCAGAACTGTGAGCCAAATAAACTTCTTTTCTTTATAAATTACCCAGTCTGTGGTAATCTGTTACGGCAGCACGAAATGGATTAAGACGCCTGGTAATAGCTCCCATGTGCTGAACACTCCCTTTGTGCTACGCAGTGTGCTGAGATGTTTGGGTGGGGCACAGTGGCGCATGCCTGTAGTCCCAAATACTTGGGAAGCTGAGGCTGGGGGGGTCGCTGGAGCCCAGGGAGGTTGAGGCTGCAGTGAGCTGTGATCCACTACTGCTCTCCAGTCTAGGCTACAGGGTGAGAGACCATGTCTCAAAAAAAAAAAAAAAAAATTAGCCTGGCATGGTGGCATAGATGAGTCACTGGCATGGTCTCAATGACTCAGGAGGCTGAGGTGGGCAGCTCACTTGAGCCCAGGAGTTTAAGACCAGTGTGGCCAACATGGCAAAACCCTGTCTCTACAAAAAATACAAAAATTAGCCGGGCATGGTGGTGTGTGCCTGTAGTCTCAGTTATTCAGTAGGCTTAAGTGGGAGGATCACTTGAACCTATGAGTTTCAGTCTCCAGTGAGCTATGATCATGCCACTGCACTCCAGCCTGAGTCAAAGAGCAAGACCCTGTCTCTAAAAAAATAAAGAAAGAAAGAAATGGCTGGGCGCGGTGGCTCATGCCTATAATCCCAGCACTTTGGGAGGCCGAGGCGGACAAATCAAGAGGTCAGGAGTTCGAGACCAGCCTGGCCAACATGGTGAAACCCCGCTTCTACTAAAAATACAAAAATTTAGCTGGGCATAGTGGCGGGTGCCTGTAATCCCAGCTAGTCGGGAGGCTGAGGCAGGAGAATTGCTTGAACCTGGGAGGCAGAGGTTGCAGTGAGCCAAGATCACGCCACTGCACTCCAGCCTGGGTGACAGAGTGAGACTCCATCTCAAAAATAAATAAATAAAGCTATGCTTATATTTCCTTTCCGAATTGGTAACAGTGTCCCTCACTTGTCACCAGTGTCACTTGTCAACAGTACACCTCGTATGTCAGGTTACCTGTTCTGTTATGGAAGGTAAGGTGAGGTGTCCTGAAAAGGGGGCAGGTCCACAACATGGCAGAGCTGACAACGACACCCCCCCAACCTGTACATTTGCTTTCAGCATAGTGCAACCTATCGCAATTCACCTAGGCCTAGTTAAGTAGATTTACTGATAACACCCTGGTTTTGGGGGAGGAAAGGAGGAGAGAAGCAAACTTTTTATTTAGGCTGGGCTCAGTGGCTCACACCTGTAATCCCAGCACTTTGGGAGGCCAGGGCAGGAGGATTGCTTGAGCACAGGAGTTCAAGACCAGCCTGGGCAACTTAGCAGGATCCGTCTCTACAAAAAAAAAAAAAGAATACACATATATATAACATTAATACAGAAAAGTCTACTACAAATCATAAGTGTAAGGTTTCACGAGTTTTTACTACACAAGTATAACCACCCTCCAGGGCCAGGCGTGGTAGTTTACATCTGAAATCCCAGCACTTTGTGAGGCCAAGGTGAGAGGACTGCTTGAGCCCAAGAGTTCACGACCAGCCTGAGTGACACAGTGAGACCCCCGTCTCTAAAAACATTAAAATCAAAAATTTTTAAGAATTTTATTTTTTATTTATGATTTTTTTTTTGAGACAGAGCCTTGCTCTGTGCCTCAGCCTCCCAAGTAGCTGGGATTACAGGTGTGCGCCACCACCCCCGGCTAATTTTTGTATTTTTAGTAGAGACGGGATTTCACCATGTTTGGCCAGGCTGGTCTCAAACCCCTGACCTCAAGTGATCTGCCCACCTTGGCCTCCCAAAGTGCTGGAATTACAGGTGTGAACCAATACGCTGGCTCAAAACATTTTTTTAAAACCACCCTCCAGATCGGGATACAGAGCATTTCGGCACTCCATAAGCCTCACCTGGCCACTGTACATGCATGGAATTGCACAGTGAGTCCTCGTTTGCATCTGGCTTCTCACACTCAACGTCATGTTTCTGACATTTGTCCATGCAGCTGTGTGTAGTTATAGTTTGTTCATTTGCATTGCTGGATAATATTCTATTGTATAAACACAGCAAAATTTACTTGTCTACAGAAGATGGACACTTGAGCTGTTTGCAGTTTTGTTTTGTTTTGTTTTGTTTTGAGACAGGGTCTCGTTCTGGTGCCCCAGGTGGAGTGCTGTGGTACCATCTCTGTTCACTGTAGCCTCAGCCTCCCAGGCTCAGGTGATCCTCCCACCTCAGCCTCATGGGTAGCTGGGACTACAGGCATGCACCACCATGCTGGCTAATTTTCTGCATTTTTAACAGAGATGGGAGTTTCATCATGTTGCCCAGTCTGGTCTTGAACTCTTGGGCTCAAGTGATCTGCCTGCCTCGGACTCCCAACGTGCTGGAATCACAGGTGTGAACCATCACGCCCGGCCTGTTTCCAGTTTTTGACCATCAAAAATAGTGCTGCTAGGCCAGGCATGGTGGCTAATGCCAGTAATCCCAGCACTTTGGGAGGCCAAGACAGGAGGATCACTTGATGCCAGGAGTTCGAGACCAGCCTGGGCAACATAATGACACCTCATCTCTACAAAAAATTGAAAAACCAACCAGGCGTGGTGGTGTACCCTTGTAGTCCTAGCTACTCAGGAGGCTGAGGTGGAAGGATTGCTTGAGCCCAGGGGTTTGAGGCTGCAGTGACCTATGATCACCACTGCACACTCCACTCTGGGCAACAGAGCAAGACCCTGTCTCAAAAAAAAAAAAAAAAAAAGAAGTGCTGCTAAGAACATAAGAACATGAGGCTTGCGCATGTATATCTACATGCATATGTACACTTTTCTGGTTTCACACTTAGGGTTAGAACTGTAGAATCATAGAGCATTCATATATTTAGCTTTAACAGATACTGCCAAATGGTCTTCCAAAGTCATTGTACCAATTTAGACTCCTATCTGCAGTTTGCAAGTCAGCCTTGTCAATATCTGGCACTTTCTGTCTTTTTCATCTTATCCATTCTGGCAGGTATGTACTGGTGTTGCATTGTTTAATTTGCTTTTTCCAAATAACTAAGTTGAGCATCATTTAACATACTCCTTGGACAATATGGATTTTTTTGTGACATGCTTGTTCACGTCTTTTACCTTTTTTTTTTTTTTTGAGATGGAGTCTCCCTCTATCAACGGACTGGAGTGCAGTAGCACGATCTCGGCTCACTGCAACCTCTGCCTCCCAGGTTCAAGTGATTCTCCTGCCTCAGCCTCCCAAGTAACTGGGATTACAGGAACACGCCACCATGCCCAGCTAATTTTTGTATTTTTAACAGAGACAGGGTTTCGCTGTGTTGGTCAGGCTGGTCTCGAACTCCTGACCTCAAGTGATCCGCCCACCACAGCCTCCCAAAGTGCTGGGATTATAAGCATGAGCCACCGCACCCAGTCCTCTTTTGCCATTTTTAAAAAAATTGAGCTGTCTATCATGTTCATTTTGTAAGGGTTTGTAAGGGTATTTATATATGCTGGATACAGGTTTCATTACTGTATACATGTACAGCACTGAAAATACCTTCTCCCACTTTTTTCTTTTTGCGTTCTTCTTTTTTTTTTTGAAAGAGAGTCTCGCTCTGTCACCCAGGCTGGAGTGCAGTGGTGCTATCTTGGCTCACTGCAACCTCTGCCTCCCAGGTTCAAGAGATTGTCCTGTCTCAACCTCCCAAGTAGCTGGGATTACACGCGCCTGCCACTAAACCCGGCTAATTTTTGTGTTTTTAGTAGAGATGGGGTTTTGCCATGTTGGCCAGGCTGGTCTCGAACTCCTGACCTCAAGTGATCCACCCGCCTCGGCCTCCCAAAGTGCTGGGATTACAGTCATGAGTCACTGCACCCGACCTCTTTTTGCTTTTTTTATTTTTTTGGAGACAGAGTTTCGCTCTTGTGGCCCAGGCTGAAGTGCAATGGCGCCATTTCGGCACACCGCAACCTCCACCTCCCAGGTTCAAGTGATTCTCTTGCCTCAGCCTCCCGAGTAGCTGGGATTACAGGCATGCGCCACCACGCCGGCCTAATTTTTGTATTTTCAGTAGAGACGGGGTTTCTCTATGTTGGTCAGGCTGGTCTCGAACTCCCGACCTCAGGTGATCCACCCGCCTCAGCCTCCCAAAGTACTGGAATTACAGGTGTGAGCCACCACGCCCAGCCTCTTCTTGCTTTTTTTGCTTTCTTATGGGTTTCTTTTGATCAAAGACGTTCCTTTTTTTTTTTGAAATGGAGTATCGCTCTGTCACCAGGCTGGGGTGCAGTGGCATGATCTCCGCTCAGTGCAACCTCCACCTCCTGGGTTCAAGCGATTCTCCTGCTTCAGCCTCCCGGGTAGCTAGGACTACAGGCACGCACCACCACGCCCAGCTAATTTTTGTATTTTTAGTAGAGACGGGGTTTCACCATGTTGGCCAGGATGGTCTCAATCTCTTGACCTCCTGATTGACCCACCTCGGCCTCCTACAGTGCTGGGATTACAGGTGTGAGTCACAGCACCCAGCCAGAAATTCTTAATTATAATGAAATCCAATTATTTATTTATTTATTTATTTTGAGATCAAGTCTCACTCTGTCGCCCAGACTGGAGGGCAATGACGTGATCTCAGCTGACTGCAACCTCTGCCTCCTGGTTCAAGCAATTCTACCTCAGCCTCCCGAGTGGCTGGAATTACAGGTACCTGCCACCACACCCAACTAATTTTTGTACTTTTAGTAGAGATGGGTTTCGCCATGTTGGCCAGGCTGGTCTTTTTTTTTTTTTTGAGACGGAGTCTCGCTGTGTCTCCCAGGCTGGAGTGCAGTGGCATGATCTCGGCTCACTGCAAGCTCCGCCTCCCGGGTTCACGCCATTCTCCCGCCTCAGCCTCCCAAGTAGCTGGAACTACAGGCGCCCGCCACCACGCCCGGCTAGTTTTTTGTATTTTTAGTAGAGACGGGGTTTCACCATGTTAGCCAGGATAGTCTCGATCTCCTGACCTCGTGATCCACCCGCCTCGGCCTCCCAAAGTGCTGGGATTACAGGCTTGAGCCACCGCGCCCGGCCCAGGCTGGTCTTGAATTCCTGACCTCGTGATCCACCCATCTCGGCTTCCCAAAGTGCTGGGATTACAGGCGTGAGCCACTGCGCCCAGCCCAATTTACTATTATTTCTTAATGATTAGTGTTCGTATTCTATTTTTAAAATGTTTGCCTACCCCAGGCTGGGTATGGTGGCTCATGCCTATAAATCCTAGCACTTTGGGAGGCAGAGGCAGGCAGATCACTTGAGTCCAGGAGTTCAAGACCATCCTGGGCAACATGGCAAACAAAACCCTGTCTCTACCAAAGATACAAAAAATTAGCTGGGCGTGGTGGTGTGCGCCTGTGGAGGCACACGGGAGGGGCTACTCAGGAGGCAGAGGTGGGAGGATTGCTTGCACCCAGGAGCCAGAGGTTGCAGTGAGCTGAGATTATGACACTGCACTCCAGCTTGGGTGACAGAGTGAGACTCCATCTCAAAAAAAAAATTCGGGCCAGGCACGGTGGCTCAAGCCTGTAATCCCAGCACTTTGGGAGGCCGAGACGGGCGGATCACGAGGTCAGGAGATCGAGACCAGCCTAGCTAACACGGTGAAACCCCGTCTCTACTAAAAATACAAAAAACTAGCCGGGCGAGGTGGCGGGCGCCTGTAGTCCCAGCTATTTGGGAGGCTGAGGCAGGAGAGTGGCGTAAAACCTGGGAGGCAGAGCTTGTAGTGAGCTGAGATCTGGCCACTGCACTCCAGCCTGGGTGACAGAGCGAGACTCTGTCTCAAAAAAAAAAAAAAAAAAAAAAAAAATTCGTTATAAAGATGCATTTTCATTCATCATATTGGCAAAAATTAAAAAGATGAATAATACCCATGGTTGATGAGGATGTGAAGAAAAAGACACTGTTATTACTGGTAGAATCAGAAGATGCTATAATTCTTTCAAGGTCACTCAAATAAAACTTGGCAAAATTGTAAATGTGTACACTTTTTGGACAGCAAATCTACTTCTAAAATATTACACTCTAGAAAGACTTGGACATGCTCACACCCCGTGTTCTCTATTGTTGATAACAGTAAAAAATAAGAAACAATCCAAACAATTTGGGTGTAGCCAAATAATTTGTGGCACATTATTATAATAAAATTGTAGGCCTAAGCTGGGCGCGGTGGCTCACACCTGTAATCCCAACTACTTGAAAGGCTGAGGCAGGAGAATCGCTTGAACCAAGAAGGTGGAGGTTGCAGTAAACCAAGATCGCGCCACTGCTCTCTAGCCTGGGTGACAGAGCAAGACCCCATCTCAAAGGAAAAAAAAAAAGAAAAGAAAGAAAGATCTAGAAGGATACACCAAATTGCTCATAGTGGTTAAACCTGAAAAAGGGAATAGGATGACTGGCTTGAATGAAATTGTCATTTTATAGATCAAAAAAAGGTCAAATTGTGACAATTTCATATGGTACAATATAAAATTATATTAAATATACTCGAGATTTAATGAATTATTACAATGAGAATATATTCATGTATTATGAACAAAATAAACAAAACACAGTTAAAAAGCAGCCCCCCGCCACCGGGCGCGGTGGCTCACGCCTGTAATCCCAACACTTTGGGAGGCCGAGACCGGCGGATCACGAGGTCAGGAGATTGAGACCATCCTGGCTAACACGGTGAAACCCCGTCTCTACTAAAAATACAAAAAATTAGCCGGGTGCGGTGGCGGGTGCCTGTAGTCCCACCACTCGGGAGGCTGAGGCAGGAGAATAGCGTGAACCCGGGAGGCGGAGCTTGCAGTGAACCGAGATTGCGCCACTGCACTCCAGCCTGGGCGACAAAGCGAGACTCCATCTCAAAAAAAAAAAAAAAAAGCAGCCCCCAGCACTCATAGCACCTAGAGACATTTGAAGAAGGAGAAATAAGCCAAGTCCCCACTGACGCTAATTGCACTGGGCCTGAGCACATGGGCTGGACACAACCAGGTTTCGGGCCTGACTCTGCCCCTCAGTTGCTTGCTAGACCTTGGTCCAGCTGCTTTACTTCTCGGGCTTTAACTGGGGTACTTCACTCATGACCGCACTAATTCTCATAACACTACAGCTGGGAACTGTCATCTATATATTACAGATGAGGAAGGGTCTGGATTAGCTACCTTTTAAGTCAGATCTAATAATCCACAAACAGCTCGGCTGAGATCCTGGGATTCTGGGGCATCCGCGTGCACTTGAGGTACAAGCTGTTCCCTTGGCCGATGGCGACCTTCTTTCTAGTGAAACTCCGGGGGGCGAGCGTGCTCGGCACAAAGGAAGTGAAGGGGGAGCACCTGGCTTCCAATGATCACTCTGCTGCTCACCCACAGTGCGACCCCAGCATTTATCCTCCTTGGGCTTCGGCTTCTTTCTTTGCAATGAGGAATAATAATAGTACCTGGCTCACAAGATGTTATAGTGTTTTAGTGTTTATAAGAAGCTGTGCACTTGATCCTCACAACGACCCTGGGAAGAGGATCAAGTAAGTGGGGCCTCCCTAATCCACAGATACTGATCACTAATCATTGTGTAAAGGTTTTCTGTTTGCAACAGGCCATGAAATATATTATCTTACTTTAATTCTAAGAAAACAAGGGAGGAACCTTTGGCTTTCATCGGATTCTCAAAAGTATACGTGTCCCCCAAGGAGTTCAGAGCTAGCCATGTTACGCAGGTGCACGGCCCCCAGGGCTGTCGGACTCAAGTAACAGCTGTCAACAAACGTTCACACGCACGATCTCATGCAATCACCTTCACGGCGACCTACGGGGAGGAATTACCGCCCCAATTCACAACTGCGGAGACACACAGAGGAGGGCGGCCACCGCCCGGGGTCGCCAGGCCTCCGCCCCCTTCCCCGCGCCCTCCCGACGCCTCTCTCCAGGCGAGGCCCGGGCGTCCCACCCAGCTCGGGCCCCCACGTGAACCCAGGCCGTGCTGGCCGGCGACGCCGGACTCGGAGACGTACCTGACGCGTCCCAGAAGCCAGGGTCCAAGCGCTCCCCGAAACCCCCTATCAGGGACTCTGTAGTACAGATATACCTTGACCCACCCGCCTCCTGCCGCCAGCCCGCCACGCGCATGCGCCACCCCGCCCGGCCTCTACCACCGAGGAAAGGGGGCACCGGCGCGGGGGTTCCCAGCGCCAGCCTGCGCGAATCCCCAGAAACTCCGTGAATCACCTCGGGATAGTAAACGGATTATACAAAGGCAGTGTCTTCCGGGGTCCTTTTCGTGCCTCCCATTACAGGCTAGGACCACGACCTGCACTCACCCTCCCCACAGACACATTGGTCTGGGCCCCCGGCGGGGCTGTCACCATGGAAACGGCGTCTAGCGGACAACGCGGCGGCTCACGACGTTTCCATTGTTATGGGAAACGCGAAAGTGGTGACCGCGCCGGCGTTGCCTGGAGAACGCCTGGAGTCAGAGTAGCAAAATGGGCCTCTCCCCAACTCCCCTCCTCCTCCCTCAGCACAAGGCAAAGGGCACCCCTTGCTGTGAGTTTGGGGCACCGAGTGTCGGGGGCCCACCCAGAACTTTGCGGGATCCACTGAGGGACCCGTGGCGGGACCGGCCCCGGGTGCGTCAAATTCCGCCGATGCTTTCAGGTAAGATGGACGGACAGACGCACCATGACCCACCCCTGGCAGTCTGCCCCCTCTCCATGCCCTTATGGCGGCTTCTACAAGCAAGGGAAGCCGAGGCCCAGGGATTACTTAAAAGTCGCACTGTGAGCAACGGACAGAGAACTACTGGACGATCAACTCCAGGCCTCCTAGAGTCCTAACAGCGTGTTATTGGTTCCATCTCATAAGTGAAGAAACTTAGGTCGTTCAAGGAGTTTACCGGCTGCCTAGTGGGTGTACCAAGGCATCCATCTAGTGAAGGGCAGGACCCAGGGGTCTTTGGCTCCAAGCGCAGTTCTCTTCCGACTATACCACCCTGCATTAAAAGAGGGGAGACTTCCATGTCCTAGAACTAAAATCTTCACAGTCTGGCTCAGCATTGTACAATAGAAACATAAAGCAGGCCACATATGTGATTTGGAATTTTCTAGTAGCCTCATTTTTTTAAAAGTTAAAAAAAAAAAAGCCAAGTGAAATTAATTTGAGTAATGTTTTAACTCCATTTGTCTAAAACATTACTATTTCAAGATATAATCAGTATTTCTAAATTTATACTGCTTCCATTTCAAAATTTATTTATTTATTTATTTTTAAGACGGAATTTCACTCTGCTGTACAGGCTGGGGTGCAGTGGCGTAATCTCGGTCTCTCGGGTTCAAGCGATTCTGCTGTCTTAACCTCTCGAGTAGCTGGGATTACAGGCGCCCGCCACCACTCCCAGCTAATTTTTTGTATTTTTAGTAGAGACGGGGGTTTCACCATGTTGGCTAGGCTGGTCTCGAACTCCTGACCTCAGGTGATCTGCTTGACTCAGCTTCCCAAAGTGCTGGTATTACAGGTGCAAGCCACTGCACCCAGCCAAAATTTGAATTAATTAAAATTAAAATTTTACTCTTGGCTGTTCTATCTATGGAGTAGCCGTTCTTTTATTGCTTTAAAAAATTTTTACTTTTTTTTTTTTTTTTTTGAGACGGAGTCTTGCTCTATCGCCCAGGCTGGAGTGGCGCGATCTTGGCTCAGTGCAACCTCTGCCTCCCTGGTTCATGCCATTCTTCTGCCTCAGCCTCCCAAGTAGCTGGGACTACAGGGGCCCACCACCACACTTGGCTAATTTTTTTTTTTTTTTTTTTGGTATTTTTATTTATTTATTTATTTATTTATTTTTTAGGTGAAGTCTCACACTCTCACCTAGGCTGGAGTGCAGTGGTGCAATCTCAGCTCACTGCAAGCTCCACCTCCTGGGTTCAAGCAATTCTCCTGCCTCAGCCTCCAGAGTAGCTGGGACTACAGGCACCCACCACCACACCCAGCTAGTTTTTGTATTTTTAGTAGAGACTCTAGCACTCTGGGAGGCCGAGGCGGGCGGATGACGAGGTCAGGAGATTGAGACCATCCTGGCTAACACGGTGAAACCCTGTCTCTACTAAAAATACAAAAATTAGCCAGGCGTGGTGGCGGGTGCCTGTAGTCCCAGCTACTTGAGAGGCTGAGGCAGGAGAATCACTTGAACCCGGGAAGCAGAGTTTACACTGAGCCAAGATTGTGCCATTGCATTCCAGCAACAAGAGTGAAACTGTCTCAAAAAAAAAAAGAGCATTGCATTCATTGTGCACTTTATTTCTACTATCATTACAATTTCTACTATTACTGCAATATAATAAAATAATTCTACAACTCACTATATTGTAGAATCAGTGGGAGCCCTGAGCTTGTTTTCCTGCAACTAGACAGTCTATCTGGGAGTGCTGAGAGACAGTGACAGATCATCAGGCATTAGATTCTCATAAGAAGCACACAACCTAGGTCGCTCGCATGCACAGTTCATAATAGGGTTTGCACTTCTATGAGAATCTAATGTTGAAGCTCGTCTGATAGGAGGCAGAGCTCAGGCGGTCATGTGAGGAATGGGGGGTGGCTGTAAATACAGACAAAGCTTCTCTCACCTGCCACTCACCTTCTGCTGTGCAGCCTGGTTCCTGACAGGCCACAGACCTACACCCATCCATGGCCCCGAGGTTGGGGACCCTGATTGTATGACAGAAGGTTATACTAAAAAGTCTGTCAGATGCTAAAGTCAGAATTGTTTTTATATGCTCAAATATATTAACTTTTTTGTTATTTTATTTTTCTTTTTTTCATGTCCCCTATTCTGAAAAGCGCCAAATATGTTAACTTTATTTATTTATTTATTTAGAGACAGGTTCTCGCTCTGTCTTTCAAGCTGGAGTGCAATGGCGTGATGTCGGCTCACTGCAACCTCCACCTCCTGGGTTCAAGTGATTCTCCTGCCTCAGCTTCCCGAGTAGCTGGGATTCCAGGTGCCTGCCACCATGTCCAGCTCATTTTTGTATTTTTAGTAGAGTTGGGGTTTCACCCTGTTGGCCAGGCTGGTCTCGAACTCCTGACCTCATGATTTGCCCACCTCGGCCTCTGAAAGTACTGGGATTACAGGCTTGAGCCACTGTGCCCAGCCCAAGTACGTTAACTTTAAACAAGGCATTTGAATCTTGACTGCCAGAATGTGTGATCCATGAGGGCAGAAGGTTTCTTACTCTTCCACTCATCTGCCTCCAGCACGTAGCATAGTAGATATTTGCCACAGGGTAGATATTTAATGAAGCTAGGTTTCTTCCCTCTCCTTTTATCCTCCCCAGGTAATGGCAGTAAAAACTTACCGTGTTTCAGAGAATACCTAAAATGGTATGAAATATTCAGAAGGGGCTGGGAGTGGTGGTTCACGCCTGTAATCCCAGCACTTTGAGAGGCCAAGGTAGGTGGATCACCTGAGGTCAGGAGTTCGAGACCAGCCTGGCCAAAATGGTGAAACCCCATCTCTACTAAAAATACAAAAATTAGGCAGGTGTGATGGCAGGTAGCTGTAGTCGCAGCTACAAGGGAGGCTTGAGTCCAGGAGGTCAAGGCTGCAGTGAGTGAGCCGAGATCGCGCCACTGCACTCCAGTCTGGGTGACAGTGCGAGACCTTGTCTCAAAAAAAAAAAAAAAAAAAAACGAAAAACAACAACAAAAAAAAACTGTGGTAAGTCTAAAAGGAATCACAGTTAATCCATAATTTGCCTAATGGAGAAAGCAGTAGAAGCAAATCATTCAAGTTCACTATTGTGAGTCCTGTAATAGATGAATGCAGAACGCTGGGGCTTTGCAGAGGAGGGATGGTGCTAAAGGCTTGGAATTATTTGAGAAGGTTTCCACAGATGTGTCACCTGGGCATAGTCCAACAGAGAGAACCGCATCTGGAAAGGCACAGAGGTAGGAAGACATGGTGTGGTCAGGGACCAGGAAGAAGTTCTGTGGGTCAGGCGTGTAAGATGCATGTCTGTGGAGAAGAGGATGGAGCAAAGGCCTGAACTGGAGGAGAGGGAAAGAGAGTATGGTGAAAGGGTACTTGAGTTAATGTTTCCACCAAACTCAACGTTTTCTCTGTCCTTCCGTTATGTATGAGCTTCTAGAGGGCCGGATCGAAGTCTTTTGCTCTATTATAACGAGGCCTGTCACACTAGACTCTGGACATAGAGGGCCCACAAATGGTAGTAATGGGCTCCTGGCCAACAAACAAGGACCCAGGAGAGCTGGCAGGCCAGAGTGTTCCAGAGCCAAGGAGGAAGAGTAGGGTTGGGGCTAGTTTTCTGAGAGGGAGCAGAAAGCCTCAGGTTGATCAGGAGCCTTGTGCTGAGGAGATGGACCCCTTATTCTAGAACCACAGCATCGGAAAGCTGGAGAGAGCCTTGGGGTCACCTAATCCAAGTCTCTTTTAGAGTTGGGACTCAGAGAAACAAAGAGATCTGATTTCATTTCTAGCTTGGGAACTGACTTGCTGAGTGGTCTGGAGTAGTCTGGAGCCCTGGCCTTTTCCGCATTCTAGTCTCCTTATTTTTAAGACTAGAACAATTTTCATCATGGGGGAGAGGCAGAGGGAGAGTCGGGCATCAGACATTGGAAGAACAAGTCCACATACCTTGAAATCTTCATTTAAGAATGGGCTTCTCAGACGGAACCCTTTCATTCCCGCGCAGGCATGGGACATGTGCTTCGACATCAACCCTGCGTAGCTGGTGAACGTGGCTGGGCTCTTCCTCTTGTGTTTTCTGAGCTGGCTCTATGCCGTTTATGATTTCCAGGAGACTGATTAAACAAAGGACAAGACTGGAGTGGGAAATGAGAGGCTCTTAAAAGTGGAAGATTTTTGTTTGTCCATTTACAAGAAATTGGACAATGGATCACTTCAGGAAGATGGAGGTCATCAACCTCACCGCCCTACCGATGATACCAGTGGATGAGCACCTGGCTGTCTCGCTTGTCGCACGGGATACAATGGTGAAGACTGTGAGGAAGGAGTTAGAGAACAATCCACCCTGTATCCTTCTGGTGGTGTTGCCTACAATCAGACCAAATACACCTAACTTGAGTCATGCTACAGAGATCTAATCAGTGCTCAGGTCTATAATGCACATTACTTATTAGTTTGTCCCTTATACATTCATTTTTTTTCTTTTCTTTCTTCGTCTTTTTTTTTTTTTTTTTTTTGTGAGATAGAGTTTCACACTGTTACTCAGGCTGGAGTGCAGTGACACAATCTCGGCTCACTGCAACCTCTACCTCCCAGGTTCAAGCAGTTCTCCTGCCTCAGCCTCCTGAGTAGCTGGAATTACAGGTGCCTGCCACCACACCTGGCTAATATTTTATATTTTTAATAGAGATGGGGTTTCACCATGTTGGCCAGGCTGGTCTTGAACCCCTGACCTCAAATGATCCACCTGCCTCGGCCTCCCAAAGTGCTGGGATCACAGGCATGAGCCACCACGCCTGGCCAGATACATTTTTTTCAGTTACTTAAATGCTACCTATCCTCTAAAAGAATTTGAGACTGTGAAGGATTGTTTGACTCCAGTATTTTTACTAATATAATCAGAAAGAGCCCGAAAGGAAGAAGTTCTGGAAGTATTTGTTGAAAGAATGGGGAAGAAGATTTTAAAAGCTAATTTTATTATTTTTTTATTATTATTATTATTTTTTTGAGATGGAATCTCACTCTGTCACCCAGGCTGGAGTGCAATGGCGCAATCTCAGCTCACTGCAAGCTCCACCTTCTGGGTTTACGCCATTCTCCTGCCTCAGCCTCCCTAGTAGCTGGGACTACAGGTGCCTGCCACCATGCCCGGCTAATTTTTTTGCATTTTTAGTAGAGACAGGGTTTCACCGTGTTAGCCAGGATGGTCTCGATCTCCTGACCTCGTGATCCGCCCTCCTTGGCCTCCCAAAGTGCTGGGATTACAGGCGTGAGCCACCGCACCCGGCCTAAAAGTTAATTTTAAAAAATGGTTGCTTTGTTTCCCTTCGACCTCCCAAAGAATTATAGATGTTATTGATAGCAACTAAGAAGTTGTGGTGCAACCCTCCACCCTCAGACAGATGAGCATGAAACCCAGCTTTTTCTTTTTCTTTTTTTTTTTTTTTTTTTGAGACGGGGTCTCACTCTGTTGCCCAGGCTGGAGTGCAGTAGCGCAGCCTCGACTCCCCGCAACCTCTGCCTCCCAGGTTCAAGGGATTCTTCTGCCTCAGACCCCAGAGTAGCCGAGATTATAGGCACCCGCCACCATGTCTGGCTTATTTTTGTATTTTTGGTAGAGATGGGGTTTCACCATGTTTGTCAGGCTGGTCTCAACCTGACCTCAGGTGATCTACCCTCCTCAGCCTCCCAAAGTGCTGGGATTACAGGCGTGAGCCACCACGCCCAACCTTTAGCCCATTTTTAAATCAGGTTATTTTCTTATTGTGGAGTTAAGAGTTCTTTGGATATTTTGTTTGCTTGGGTTTGTTTGTTTGTTTGTTTGTTTTTGAGACATAGTCTTACTCTGTCGCCCAGGCTGGAGTGCAGTGGCACGATCTCGGCTCACTGCCATCTCTACCTCTCGGGTTCAAGCGATTCTCCTGCCTCAGCCTCCCAAGTAGCTGGGATTACAGGCGCCTGCCACCACGCCCGGCTAATTTTGTATTTTTAGAAGAGACAGGATTTCTCCATGTTGGTCAGGTTGGTCTCGAACTCCTGACCTCAGGTGATCTGCCCACCTCGTCCTCCCAAAGTGCTGGGATTACAGGCATGAGCCACTGTGCCCGGCCTTTTTTTTTTTTTTTTTTAATCAGGTTGACCTTGACTCTTCTCACCTGCCAGCCCTTCTCCCTGGCCCCAAATCTGCTCCTTCTGGCATCATCCAGGCTCTACCAGCATCTTATACTTGCCCTGGCCCTGTCTTCGTTCATACTCGTCTCGCTTCTGACCCTGAGTTGTATTCCAGGGTCACAGAACTCCATCTCTGGAGGACCTTACAGCTTGTCCAGCAAATAACCCTCTCAGGCTGGAAATAACCCCAGGTCTTTCCATCTCCTGTGGAACTCATTTACCTTCAAGCCATGCTGCCAGCCCAGCTGCAGGTACCGCTCTGCCCCCCTCACCTTCCGTGCCTCTCAGAAGCCCTTCTTAAGATGAGGCAAAGTGTCATCCCATCACAATTTGCTTCAGGGTTTCACTTTGCAGGGCTGCTTTCTAATGTCCCCGCTTTCTTCTTAATCCCACACCTAACAAGTCCATTTCACCTACTGTGATTTGTCATGTCCCTTTTTGGTGTCTTCCTTTTTCAAGTATCCTCCGATTTGTAAGAACACTCGAGGGTAATGGAAGTAAGAGTGAACCTTGCTTTATGTGAAGGCAGTGAGGGTGATAGGATTATGGGGGGTTTACAAAGGATATATCCTAGATCAATAGAGGCTAAGACAGAAAGAAATGCAAAAGCTGAGAGGGTAGGAAGAGGGGCCATAGAACTGAACAGATTTTAAGTGATAAGGTCGAGATACCCTTTGACACAGTCATCTGTCACCTGAAAATCTCTCATAAAGAAATATTCTAAAATATGGAAACAGCTCTCTATGTGACATCACACGAGCATCACAGCATTCTTTATTTTTCATTTTCTGTTTTTTGTTTTTTGTTTGTTGTTGTTGTTGTTTTGTCATTCAGGCTGGAGTGCAGTGGCATGATCTCAGCTCACTGCAACCTCCACCTCCCGGGTTCAAGCAATTCTCCTGCCTCAGCCTCCCAAGTAGCTGGGACTATAGGCGTGTGCCACCACGCCCGGCTAATTTTTGTATTTTTAGAAGAGACGGTATTTCACCATGTTGGCCAGGCTGGTCTCAAACTCCTGACCTCGAGTGATCCACCCGCTCAGCCTCCCAAAGTGCTGAGATTACAGGCATGAGCCACCGAGCCTGGCACACAGCATTGTTTTGTTTTATTTTATTTATTTTTGAGATGGAGTCTCACACTGTTGCATGGGCTGGAGTGCCGTGGCACGATCTTGGCTCACTGCAACCTTCACCTCCTAGGTTCAAGCGATTCTCCTGCCTCAGCCTCCCAAATAGCTGGGATTACAGGCACCCGCTACCACACCCAGCTAATTTTTTTTATTTTTAGTAGAGACAGGGTTTCACTATGCTGACAAGGCTGGTCTCAAACCCCTGACCTCGTGATCTGCCCGCCTCGGCCTCTCAAAGTGCTGGGATTACAGGAGTCAGCCACCGTGCCAGCCGGCATTATTTATAATTGCCAAAAAGTGTAAATAACTTAAACTTTTAATATCCAAGGAACAGTTAAGTATATTAAGGTGTATCGTCTACATGGATTAGTATAATGTCATTTAAAATGCTTATCATGAAGATCCTTTAGCCAAAGGGAAAATACTCATAATAATGAATGGAAGAGTGGCCGGGCGTGGTGGCTCACGCCTGTAATCCCAGCACTTTGGGAGGCCGAGGCGGGCGGATCATCTGAGGTCAGGAGTTTGAGACCAACCTGGCCAGCATGGGGAAACCCTGTCTCCATTAAAAACACAAAAATTAGCCAGGCGTGATGGTAGGCGCCTGTAATCCCAGCTACTCAGGAGGCTGAGGCAGGAGAATCACTTGAACCCAGGAGGCAGAGGTTGCAGTAAGCTGATATCGCACCACTGCACTCCAGCCTGGGTGACAGAGCGAGTGAGACTCCATCTCAAATAATAATAATAATAATAATAATGACTGGAAGAGAAGTCAGAGTAGTAAAACAGGTTTACACTGAGATTATAAATACAGACAAAAATAAGTATGTACGAAATACTAGAAGGAAAGTTCCCAAGTCCTAACAGAGTTGTTAGGATGGTGGCATTATGGATGACTCTTTTTCACTTTTTGTATGTTCCAAGGTGTCTATAATATGGTCAACTCTCATTTATAATTTGCAAAGTATCTCATTTAAAACAAGATAAAGAAATATGGGCTGGGGGCCGGGCGCGGTGGCTCAAGCCTGTAATCCCAGCACTTTGGGAGGCCGAGACGGGCGAATCACGAGGTCAGGAGATCGAGACCATCCTGGTTAATACGGTGAAACCCCGTCTCTACTGAAAAGTACAAAAAACTAGCCGGGCGAGGTGGCGGGCGCCTGTAGTCCCAGCTACTCGGGAGGCTGAGGCAGGAGAATGGCGTGAACCCGGGAGGCGGAGCTTGCAGTGAGCTGAGATCTGGCCACTGCACTCCGGCCTGGGCGACAGAGCGAGACTCCGTCTCAAAAAAAAAAAAAAAAAAAAAAAAAAAAAAAAAAAAGAAATATGGGCTGGGTGCTGTGGCTCATGCTGTGATCCCAGCACTTTGGGAGGCTGAGGTGGGTAGATCACTTGAGCCCAGGAGTTTGAGATCAGCCTGGGAAACATGGCGAAACTGCATCTCTACAGGAAATTTTAAAAATAAGTGAGGCATGGTAGTGTGTGTCAGTAGTCCCAGCTACTTGGGAGGCTAAGGTGGGAGGATCGATTGAGCCCAAGAGGTCTGCTGCAGTGAGCCATGATTGCACCACTGCAATCCAGCATGGGCAACAGAGCGAGGCCCTGTCTCAAAAAAAAAAAGGAAGAAAGAAATGTGAAAAATGTGAATGTTTGCAAAAAAAAAATTAAGGAGAGAGGCTGTGTAGACAGGGCTGCCCTTCTCACCAGACAAGCCCTATCCTGTTCTGTGTGTCATCATCACCCTGAGTTTCCTTAGCAGACTCACCTCCCAGCGTGCCTTATTGGCTCTATGCACCAGGTGAACCAAAAGATTGCTGACATAAATCTGCGTACCGAGCCATCAGCCAACAGCCTGGTGAGTTACCTGTGCTGGAGCTGGGACGAAGCTTCTGACAGGGGCGGGCCCTGGGGATCATTAAGGTGTCACAGTGCCCTGGGGCCTCTCCATTTATTTGAAAACGTGTTTACACAATTGAGCACTCAACGTTAATTTTTTAAAAAATGAATGAACTTTTATTTTTTATTTTTTATTTTTTTGAGACAGAATCTCGCTCTGTCGCCAGGCTGGAGTGCAGTGGCGTGATCTCGGTTCACGGCAACCTCCGCCTCCTGGGTTCAAGCAATTTTCCTGCTTCAGCCTCCCGAGCAGCTGGGACTACAGGTGCCTGCCACCACGCCTGGCTAATTTTTGTATTTTTTAGTAGAGATGGGGTTTCACCATGTTGGCCACGATGGTCTCGATCTCTTGACCTCAAGTGATCTGCCCACCTCGGCCTCCCAAACTGCTGGGATTACAGGCATGAGCCACCATGCCCAACCTCTTTGAATATTTTGGATATTTTGGATAACAGCCTTTTGTTGAATTTTTTTTTGCAGATATTTTCTCCTAGTATGTGACTTGTCACTTCATTCTCTTGACAGTGTCTTTTCACAGAGCAGAAATTTGCAATTTTACGAAATTTAGCTTATCAATTCCTTCATGGATTGTACCTTCTGTGTCATATCTAAAAAGTCATGACCAAACCCAAGGTCACCTAGGTTTTCTCCTGTTGTCTTCTGGAAGTTTTATAGTTTTATGTTTACATTTGATTTTGATCCATTTTGAGTTCATTTGTGTGATCGCTGTAGTTTTTACCTCTCAGGGTGTCTACACTGAGCCTCCAGAATTCATTTATGACAGTTTTGGCTTTGCTACTGGTTCCCATGGAGGTTTCTGCCCATGGGTTTATCCTCCTGCCGGTTGTGATTCTCTGTATCTACCTGCCTGTCTTCAGTTTTCAGGCAGTAGTTTGCCCTGTGACCTCACTTCTCTGATAGATATAAGAGTTGTTAATTTTTCAGTTTATTCACCTTTACTTATTATAGGGACGGAATGGTGACTTACGAGATCCTTACGTGTGGACCTGAAATGAGAAGTCTGAAGGTTAATTTTGGTACATTTTTATTGGGGAAAAAATACAAACCCTTCAATAATTCTCAAACACACCCACACACACATGCACACACACACACACATATCTTTTTGAGAGGCAGGAGTGCTAAATGTTAAGCAAGTAGCTGTTGTGTAGCACAGCTCCCACAAGATGGAAGAACATGGGCATGAATCATCTGTAAGTGTCTTTTTGGCTATTTTGGATTTTGGCAATGGTGTATATTTGTTTCTTATTTTTAACTGCACTTAAGAAATCTGAGGCATAAATCTAAAGATCTCTAACATATGGAGATAGAGATTTAAAAATGAGGACAACAAAGAAATGTCAGCCAACCAACAGGTCGCTACTGACGACCTGCTCCTGGATGGTGCTGGGTACGTTGTTTTGGGGTCAGTTTCCCATGCTGCTCAGACTGGATGGTCCCTTACAGCTCACTTGCTCATAGTGGTGTGAGGCAGAGGATTACAATGATGAAGATTTACTCTTTGAGAGATCCAGTGAGCTGCAGGCGAGTTCGCCCACAGGTTTTTCTTTTCTTTCTTTTTTTTTTCTTTTTTTTTTTCTTTTTGAGACGGAGTCTTGCTCTGTCGCCCAGGCTGGAGTGCAGTGTCACAATCTCGGCGCACTGCAAGCTCCGCCTCCCGGGTTCCCGCCATTCTCCTGCCTCAACCTCCCAAGTAGCTGGGACTACAGGCGCCCGCCACCACGCCCAGCTAATTTTTTGCATTTTTAGTAGAGATGGGGTTTCACCATGTTGGCCAGGATGGTGTCAATCTCCTGACCTCGTCATCTGCCCACCTCGGCCTCCCAAACTGCTGGGATTACAGGCGTGAGCCACCGCGCCCGGCTCTTTTTTTTTTTTTTTTTTTGAGATGGAGTTTCACTCTTGTCGCCCAGGCTGTAGTGCAATGGTGTGATCTCGGCCCACAGTAACCTCCGCCTCCCGGGTTCAAGCAATTCTCCTGCCTTAGCCTCCCGAGTAGTGGGATTATAGGCACGTGCCACCACGCCCGGCTAATTTTTTATTCAGGAGCCACTATAAATGCATTAAAAATTCAGGACACAATGCAGATCTAGGAAATAAGCATCTCTAATGTGAAGGCCGGGGAATCTGTGTATTTGAATACTTCCCCGAAATGCTGGTCATTGGTCCGGTTTGGGAGTTGCCTTCCTGGAGAATGGCGCTACTTGTAGGCCCTGAAGTCATCTCAAAGGTAAACTCAGCCTAATGCTGGTCTTATCATCTTTCCTCCAAAACTTGCTCTTCTTTCAACATTCAACTATCCTTTCTCCCCTCTTTCTGTGCAAATCTTATCCATCCTTCCAGGCCATACAGTGTCTGCTACAATGACATTGGTAAAGATCAGAGGTATTGCTATATTGCTACAGTGACTCATACCCATCCAATTCATTCCTCATGCCTTAAACTTCAGCTGACTTAATTGGAGCAACAATGTTAATACATAGACTAACGCCTGTGATGGCACCCCAACCCCTGGCACACACATACAGACACCCCTGCACACATGCCCAGTACCTTTCACTCATGCAGACCAGGGAGGGCCCATGCGAGGGAAAGATGGGGAAGGCCTGGAGAGGTATTTCCCAGTTATCAAGCTGGGGAAAGTCGGAGCCTGATGCCACCAACACTCATGTCCGCCTCTTCTGGACATTTGGCTGTGACCGCTCTGGCCCACATTGACCTCACTTTTTTGATTCATAATCACTGCAGTTTAGCATTTAATTGTTCCATGAGTGCTGATTTGGCTCTCCAAATAGAGTGTAAGTCCCTTGAGGGCAAAAACACAGACTCATAGTTGTTCGTTAACTTTGTTACCCAAGCTCATTGCTGGACTCTTGGTTGACAGTCAATGCAACTTGGGTCACTAGCATTCATTTTTCTTTCTTGCTTTTCAGAGGGTAGGAGGATGGGGGTGGGGAGGAGTCAGAGGTGAAGAGAAGTCTCTCTTGAGAGGTCAAAGGTAGATAATAGATACCCCTTATTGAGCAGCTCCTATCTGATAGCCTCTTTGCCAGTGTTTTAAAATACATTAAACACTTTATTTTTGACCGTTATAAGAACTCTGGAAGAGCCTGGGCTCAGTGGCTCACACTTGTAATCCCAGAACTTTGGGAGGCCAAGGCGGGTGAATCACAAGGTCAAGAGATCGAGACCATCCTGGCTAACACTGGTGAAACACTGTCTCTACTAAAAATACAAAAAATTAGCCGGGCGCGGTGGCGGGCACCTGCAGTCCCAGCAACTCAGGAGGCTGAGGCAGGAGAATGGCGTGAATCCGGGAGGCGGAGCTTGCAGTGAGCTGAGATCGCGCCACTGCACTCCAGCCTGCGTGACAGAGCAAGACTCTGTCTCAAAAAAAAAAAAAAGGAAAAAAGAAATTCATCACTGGAGACTGGATAAAGGTTGGGGCAATTGCTGGAGCCTTGCATGCAGAATCACACCTGCTTCAAAGATCCGTTGCTGTGCTACAAACCACCCCACCTTAAAGCTTACCATAAGGTGTATTGTTCAGGCTTCTGTGGATCAGGACTCAGATGGCCTGTCCACTGGATGAGCCAGCGGCTGGCTCACTCGTATAGCCACAGTCAGAAGGTGGCCAGGTGGGCTGGACGGTACCCAATGGTCTTACTTGCCCTGGAAGATAGATATTATTAGATATTAATTAGATATTATTATCTCCCTTTTACAAAGAGATTAAACAATCGCTTGTTTCATTTCTAATTCCTGCTCTAAATCACATACTCCTAGAAGAAGGGGCAGCATGAGACAGTGGGGATACTCTGGGGGATGATGTCAGTGACATTGAGGCCACCAGGACCTACCACCTGGAGAAAGACAAGGCACTGGCCACAAACTTTGCTCCAGATCTTTTGTGTACCAACGAGAGAAAAGGCCCAGTCCCTAACCCCACCCTTCTCCAGGATTTGCATTAATCCCTAATGCCCCTCTTTTTCTTGGTTTTTGAAGGCAATTGAGAGATTTGAGTTGGAGAAGAAGGCTTTAAGAGAGAAAACTCGCAGCAGTCCAGGAGACAAAGGCAAAAACCTTTCCCTTAGCCTTGATGCTGTTTTCATGGGGTTTGTTTTTTTTTTTAGTATCTAAAATGCAACTGAGTAGGAATCCCAAGTTTCAGATGAGGATGTTTCTATCTTCTGAAGGAGCCTTAAACCTGACTTTTTGACATTGGGCAAGGAAGGAGGGAGGGACAGTACCATTTAGAGACCACCTACATGTGACACCAGGTGCTTTTATCCACATTCCCTTGTTTTTTTTTTATTTTTTGTTTTTTGAGCTGGAGCCTCACTCTGTCACCCAGGCTGGAATGCAGTGGTGTAATCTCGGCTCACTGCAACCTCCGCCTCCCGGGTTGAAGCAATTTTCCTGCCTCAGCCTCCTGAGTAGCTGGGATTACAGGGGCTCGCCACCGTGCCCAGCTAATTTTTGTATTTTAGTAGAGACGGGTTTCACCATGTTGGCCAGGCTGGTCTCTAACTCCTGGCCTCAAGTGATCCGCCCACCTCAGCCTCCCAAAGTGCTGGGATTACAGGTGTGAGCCACTACACCCGGTCCCTTGTTAAATTTTTATAACACCTGGGAGGTAGGTACCATTTAATATATTTTATAAACGAGGAAATAGCCTTGGAGGGAGGGGAGTAACTTACCTAAAGTCACAGTCTGTCTGCTCCTCCTTGCTGCTTCTCTGGATCAAGTGGTCTAATCAGATAAGTCAGCAACACAGTTGGGATCTATGAGACTAGTAGTGGGAGCGTCCTCTGGCAGCTCAGGTGGAAGGAAAAAGCACAGCTGTAAGCACTGCACAGCTGTGGACAGACCCTGTGGTTTCTCATTTATCTCTTTCTCCATTTTTCTGCAGTCAAGAGACAAAGAAAATCTCAGTATTCCTGCAAAGGCTCAGAACTGAGACATGCCAGATCTTCTGTTATAAAAAGGGTAAGGGATCTACTGCTGGGTCTGTTTCTGACTGGCTTCTGCTAGGTATGAAATAAAGATTTTATTCCTAGGGAGGAGAATACTTGGTGCCTGGGTAGTGATTATGAAGGAAAATCACAGAGTTCCTAAATTTAGAATTTCTCATAACACCCTCAAAAGGGCAGAGCTGACCCCAGCCTCAGAATAGGGAGTGTGACAGAGGTCATGTGTCTGCTTATTTTTAGATCTTAGAAGGTGTCTCCGCTCAGAGATGTTCAGGTCTAATCCAGAGCCACAGTGCCACGCAGCTCCAAGGGGCTGTCCACACTGCAGGCCCCTGTGCGACTCTTCTGAGTCACACCCCATGCTAGTTGTGCCACTGCAGACTTACTGTGGATACCTCAGGAAGCTGAGATTCAGGAGCAGTAAGGTGACTTGTCACAGGGTCATGCAGCTCACTGATGGCAAGCCCCACTTCCTGCTCAGTCCTCTGACTTGAGACAGGCTCTCTCCACTGCCTCCCCTGCAGCGATCTGGCCCCACTGCACAGCCCCCCAGTTCAGATCCTCCTTGGCTTCTTTTTTTCTTTTTTCTTTTTTTTTTTTTTTTGAGATGGGGTCTCTCTGTCACCCAGGCTGAAGGGCTGGAGTGCAGTGGCACGATCTCAGCTCACTGCAACCTCTGCCCCCAGGGTTCGAGTGATTCTCCTGCCTCGGCCTCCCAAGTAGCTGGGATTACAGACATGCATCACCATACCTGGCTAACTTTGCATTTTTAGTGGAGATGGGGTTTCACCATGTTGGCCAGGCTGGTCTCGAACTCTTGACCTCAGGTGATCTGTCCAGCCCAGCCTCCGAGAGTGCTGCGATTACAGGCATGAACCACCGTGCCCGGCCCTTAGCTTGTTCTTTACACCGCCTAGGTCTTAAGTATCCAAACCTTTAAATGCTGGGGAATCTGAAACAGTATGTTGTTCATATCCTTCTTACACCTTTTGGCCTAGGAAATTCCAAAACAGCACAAGGCCTAAGGGGGATGTGAGTCTGCATTGGAGCTGACATACAATCCATTGACGGTGGCTGAGCTAAGTGTCCTGCAAAGGTGGCTCAGCCAGCACATGGCAGAGCTGCCACCTGACTCCAGTCATCTGACCCAGAGTCAGTGCCGCAAATCATTAACTGTTCTTCCATTGTCCATGGCCAGAGCCCAGTTAGGAAGTCATCTGGGCCATCTAGATGTTTCAGTGGGCTCCTTTGGGTGTCAGAAGTTTCCTCTTTTACATATTTTTACATTTTTTATAGTTATCATGTTTTAGTTTTATCCTAAAAATCATCTAATGGTATATATTAACCACAAAGATAGTAATATCCAATATTAGCATTTTAAGAAATTCACACTAAATAAATAACCCCAGAGGAAGGGGAACGACATGCTCCAAGCTACTGATCATATTAATAGTAACCAAAAGTAATCAGTGAGTAGTTAATTAAATTATAGCACATAGTAACATGATATATCATCGTTGTTTTTTTTTTTTTTTTTTTTTGAGACGGAGTCTTGCTCTGTCACCCAGGCTGGAGTACAGTGGCGCTATCTCTGCTCACTGCAAGCTCCTCCTCCCGGGTTCACGCCATTCTCCTGCCTCAGTCTCCCAAGTAGCTGGGACTACAGGTGCCTGCCACCACACCCGGCTAATTTTTTTTGTATTTTTAGTAGAGATGGGGTTTCACCATGTTGGCCAGGATGGTCTCGATCTCCTGACCTCGTGATCCACCCACCTCGGCCACCCAAAGTGCTAGGATTACAGGTGTGAGCCACCGCATCCGGCCGATATATCATCTTAAATGATAATTTTGAAGACAACGTAACTACATGAAAATCTAAAGTAAAGTAGATAAAGCGGGATATAAATATCATATACATATATATTTGACTTCTTAGAGCTATCAAAGTCAGCCAGACAAATCATATATAAATCATATTACGATTGAAGTTACATATTTGTGTTTGTATACATTTGCTCAAAGTCTATAAGGGAAAACAGAAATAACGTAGACAGCACTTTGGGAGGCCGAGGTGGGCAGATCAGCTGAGGTCAAGAGTTCAAGACCAGCCTGGCCAACATGGTGAAACCCCATCTCTACTAAAAATACAAAAAATTAGCTGGGTGTGGTGGCGGGCGCCTGTAATCCCAGCTGCTCAGGAGGCTGAGGTAGGAGAATTGCTTGAACCAGGAGGCAGAGGTTGCAGTGAGCCGAGATCACGCACTGCACTCCAGTCTGGACAACAAGAGCAAAACTTCTCACAAAAAAAGAAAGAAAGAAAGAGAGGGAGGGAGGGAGGGAGGAAGGAAGGAAGGAAGGAAGGAAGGAAGGAAGGAAGGAAGGCAGGCAGGCAGGCAGGCAGGCAGGCTGGCTGTAGATAGGAGTTTGGAAGGGGTCCTAGGATCCTAAACGCCCCTCATTTTCTCATTCTATAAGATTGTTTTTTTTGTTTTTGTTTTTGTTTTTTTTTTTTGAGGCGGAGTCTCGCTCTGTCGCCCAGGCTGGAGTGCAGTGGCCGGATCTCAGCTCACTGCAAGCTCCACCTCCCGGGTTCACGCCATTCTCCTGCCTCAGACTCCCGAGTAGCTGGGACTATAGGCACCCGCCACCTCGCCCGCCTAGTTTTTTGTATTTTTTAGTAGAGACGGGGTTTCACCGTGTTAGCCAGGATGGTCTCGATCTCCTGACCTCGTGATCCGCCCGTCTCGGCCTCCCAAAGTGCTGGGATTACAGGCTTGAGCCACCGCGCCCGGCCTCTATAAGATTGTTATATTGTCTTCATAATAAAGAGGGGAAGCTAGCCTATTGTTTCAAACTGTCAAAATGTGACCCTCATTTTCATATTCTGCTCTTTTGCTTCAGAAAACAGCAGATAAAAATCTGCTGGCGGAGCTGTACCAGTATCCCTACTTTAACAGCTCCAAGCCAAACAAGCTTCCGAATGGAGTCAACTTCTGTGACATGGTGGGCAATGTGATCCGGGCTGAGAGAGACTGCTTTAGTGGCAAGGTAAGGAAAAAGCAGTGCCTGCCCTGACTTTACCACCCCATGGGGCAAATGCAGCTGTCACCCTTTCACACCCCAAGAGAAACTGAGGAACTCACCTAGGGCCACAGGCAGGCAGGTGTCTGAGCTGAGCTAGGAACCCCAGCCCAACCTCACTACAAAACCTAGATTCCTTCTACCAGAGCAACAGTGTTCAGACTGTTTTAATCACATATCCTACTGGTGTGCAATTTTTATCATAAACCCTCATTGAAATGTGTCTGTTTATAAATTACATACTTATTCTGTTGCCAATCACCACAAAGGATATTAGTATGCTTAATCTCTCTTTCTTTTTTTTTCTTTTCTTTTCTGTTTCCTTCTTCCTTCCCTCCTTCTTTCTTTCTTTCTTTCTCTTCCTTCCTTTCTTTCTTTCTCTTTCCTTTCTTTTCCTTTCTTTCTTTCTTTCTTTCTTTCTCATTCCTTTCTCTTTCTTTCTTTCTTTTTCCTTCGTTCCTTCCTTCCTTCCTTCCTTCCTTCCTTCCTTCCTTCCTCTCTCTCTCTTTCTTTCTTTCTTTTTCTTTCTTACTTTTTGGAGACAGGGTCTCCCTCTGTCACCCAGGCTGGAATGCAGTAGCACTGTCATAGCTCACTGCAGCCTCAAACCCCCAGACTCAGTGATCCTCCCGCCTCAACCTCCTGAGTAGCATGCACCACCACACTGGTTAGTTTTTTAAAAAAATTTTTGTAGAGGCAAGGTCTTGCTAGGTTGCCCAGGTTAGTCTCAACTCCAGGGCTCAAGCCATCTTCCCCTCCCCATCCTTGGCCTCACAAAGTGCTGGGATTACAGGTGTGAGCCACCACGCCCAGTCAATTGCTTTTCTTTCTTATGTAGATGTTAGTTAGAATATTCTCTTCTCAAGCCCCTGGGGGTGAGTATGCCTCCTTGCAGAGCCGCGCACTAGAGCACCCTGGGTTCCTTGTGAAGAAAGGAAGGAAGTATTCTAAGGCCTAGAGGAACCTGTTTGCTCAGGCGGCACAAACACTGGCAGCTCTGGAGATGGGGGATGATTGTAGGGAGGTCTTGGAGAAGGGAAGAAGCCCAGAAAATGGTCTCGGCCGCTGTACAGCTGTGCCTCATGGCTCTTCATCATCACACAACTCTGGTGTCCCCAAAGCAGCTCTGATCATTGTCCTCTGAGCTCCTAGGCAGTCACCCCACCATTCCTGAGACCCAGCATCTCAGTCTCTTCTACCTGTAGTTCTCACTGCTGCTTTGAGCCACACCCCCATCTCTCTATCTCTGTCTCCCTCTCCTTCTCATCATGCCCTTCCCTACTCTCTAATTTTTTTTTTTTTTTTTTTTGAGACAGCATCTCGCCCTGTCACCAGGCTGGATGGAGTGCAGTGGTGCGATCTGCAACCTCCGACTCCCTGGTTCAAGCAATTCCCCTGCTTCAGCCTCTTGAGTAGCTGGGATTACAGGCATGTGCCACCATGCCCAGCTAATTTGTGTATTTTTAGTAGAGACAGGGTTTCACCATGTTGGCCAGACTGGTCTCGATCTCCTGACCTCGTGATCTGCCTGCCTCAGCCTCCCAAAGTGCTGGGATTACAGGTGTGAGCCACTGCGCCTGGCCCCCTCCTCTCTTCTTCATGGCTTCTTCCTGCTGCCTTCTCTCGGGGCTATGTCGGTCCCATCTGTTTCTTGCATTCTGACTTCCTAAGAGAGATGATCTGTTTGGGCCAGTCACTGCCCAGAATGACAGTGCTGTTTGCTGGCATGGCCTGCAGTCCGTCAGTGGAAGGGGCGCTGGTCTCTGGGCCTGGCAGCGGCGGCCCAGGTGTCGGGTACCTGATTCCCTTTGCTCCTGCTTTCCTCAGGGGAGAGGCAGTAGGAGGGATGGGTGCTCAGAGCATCAGGTTCCCTACAGGACAGTGTACAAAGATGCTCACCACCATGTTCATTACAATAGCAAGGAAGTGGAAAGCAGTACATCTGGGTGGTTAAGTGCCTCTCTGACCTCTAATTTCTTCTCCTGTGAAATGGGAATAAAAACAGTCTCTACCTTGAGGTGTTATTGTGAAATAAATAAGATAATGCATAGAAAGGTGTCTAGCACAGTGCTAGAAGTCATCAATTCTAAGAAAATGGTAGTTTGTATGATTAGTGTTATTAGAAACAATTTAATGGTCAATAATAGAGGAATAGCATGGTCATCTTTGCCATCTATATCATGGACCGTGTAGCCATGATAAAATGTGATGATAAAAGTGGGTGTTTATAAAAGAGTGTATTTTAACATGCCATGCTGTGATGTTGAATGAAAAGTATCAGCATGTAAAACTCTCTACAATTCAATCTTTTTTTTTTTTTGAGACAGAGTCTTCCTCTGTTGCCCAGGCTGGAGTGCAGTGGCGCCATCTTGGCTCACTGCAAGCTCCGCCTCCTGGGTTCACGCCATTCTCCTGCCTCAGCCTCCCGAGTAGCTGGGACTACAGGCGTCCGCCACTGCGCCCGGCTAAGTTTTTGTACTTTTTAGTAGAGATGGAGTTTCACCATGTTAGCCAGGATGGTCTCGATCTCCTGACCTCATGATCCCCCTGTCTCGGCCTCCCAAAGTGCTGGGATGATAGGCGTGAGCCACCGCGCCCTGCCAATCTTTTTTTTTTTTTTGAGACAGAGTCTTGCTCTGTAGCCCAGGCTGGAGTGCTGCAACCTCCCACTCCTGGGTTCTAGCAATTCTCCTGTCTCAGCCTCCTGAGTAGCTGGGACTACAGATATACAACCACCATGCCTGGCTAATTTTTTGTATTTTTAGTAGAGACAGGGTTTCCCCATGTTGACCAGGCTGGTCTTGAACTCCTGACCTCAAGTGGTCCACCTGCCTCAGCCTCCCAAAGTGCTGGGATTACAGGTGTGAACCACCGCGCCTGGCCAACAATTCAATCTATGTAAGTGCACACATGGGAAAATTTTAGATGAAATACATAGATATTACCACTGGTCTCTGAGTTATAAGGTTATAAGATTATAGGCCGGGCATGGTAGCTCACACCTGTAATCCCAGCACCTTGGGAGGCTGACGTGGTTGGATCACAAGATCAGGAGATCGAGACCATCCTGGCCATCGTGGTGAAACCCTGTCTCTACCAAAAATACAAAAATTAGCCGGGCATGGGGGTGCACGCCTGTAATCCCAGCTACTTGGGAGGCTGAAGCAGGGGAATTGCTTGAACCCTGGAGGTGGAGGTTGCATTGAGCCAAGATGGCACCACTGCACTCCAGTCTGGGGCTATATCGAGACTCCATCTCAAACAAATAAAAAAAGATTATAAGATTATAGTTGTTTTCCTCCTTTTACGTCTTCTGTTTTCAAGTTGTCTGTAAGAAGCACCTGGAGTTATGCTTCTTGGACCCGCTGTTCCTGCACAGTTTGCCTTGACAGACCGCCTGGGCGCAGCCTGAATGTTCTCAATTCATTTGCAGGGTTGGTGGCCCCCAAGGACAGAGACTGCTATGCTATTTAATGCCCCATTTTTGAGGTCCTATGGGGAATCTTTTCCTTCAAACTTACTACAAATAAAACTGTGCAACTCCCAGAATGCTTTCAGCCTTACAGCTGATACTCTTTCTTGCTTTTCTTTGGCTCCCGGGAAACTCAAAGCAAATTTGTGCCCCGTCTTTGAAAGGACCTTCTTCCACCCTGCTTAGGGGCCATGTCAAACTTTCACTCACCTCCACAAATCCTCTCCTCTGTTACCTCCCCTCACTCTTGGCAGTCAACTTTAGCTCTGCTTTAGAGTCTGGGGGCTGCCACTAACCCTGAGCTCCACAGAGACAAAAGCCCTTCCCATCTTGCCCTATCTGGGAGTGCCGTCTCAGCTCTGTACCAGGCCTTGCCTGGACTTCTTGGAAGAGCTGTCCACACATGCTGGCTTCATGTTCTCATCTCCACTCTCTTCATCCGGCTGCAACCTGGGTTCCCACTCTCACCCACTGCTGAAAGTATCCCGAGTCAATCATTAGCTTTCACCTTATGGAATCTAAAGATTGTGTTTCTGTTGTTATTAGATAACCTCTGTAGAACTGACCCAGAGGACGACTCCCTACATTCTGAAATTCTTTCCCCTTTGGTTTTGGTGGGTCATTGTCCCTCTATGCAAACAGCACTATCTTGGTCTCCCAGGCTCCTTTACCACCCACGTTCTTTGGGACCCCTCCCTCTGCTCTCTGTCTTCTCCCTCTGCACAAACCCTAGGGGTCAGGTGGACCTGGGTCATTGTCTTACTCTCTTTGTGCTCTATCACAGAATACCCGAGGCTGGTAATTTATAAAGAACAGAGATTTATTTCTTTCAGTTCTGGAGGTTCAAGATCAAGGGGCCACATCTGGTGAGGGCCTTCGTGCTATGTTATCCCGTGGTAGAAGATGGAAGGGAGAGAGGCTAGAGAGAGAGGGCGAAAGGACTGAAATTGCTTTTATAACCGACCCACCTCCAGATAACCACATTAATCCATTCGTGAGGGTGGAGCCCTCTAACCCAGTCACCTCTTCTTAGTCCCTTACTTCCAACACTGTTGCACTGAGGATTAAGTTTCTAATATGTGAACTTTGGGGGACACGTTCAGACCATAGCAATCATATTCCCATATGAAACCAATCACTGCTTCAGAATTGTGTCACTTCCTCCAGGGCCTTCACTGTACTCCAGACTCCCATATCCCTCCATCCCTCTGCCTCTGGCCTCAGCGGCCCTCAGGCTCTCATACCCATCCGTTCTGCTTTTCCTCCAGGACTCCCCATCTTGTTGAAAACACAGCTTTCCACCTGGGCATCAGCCAGTCTCCTCTCTTACCCTCATCTCTACCTCTGTGCACTCTTAGGAAGATGTAACTACTGTCTTTCCTGTGTCTCTTCCCCTTCCCACTGGCCACTGTCAAGTTCAGGCCCCACAACTTCCTGTCTGGGTTACTGTGCCTTCTGCCCAGCTTGCTGTCTGCCTTGCAGTTCTAATCCCCTCCAATGCATCTTGTACACTGCCACCAGGGATCTTTCTAGAACACCAGTGTCACAGTGTTCTACCCTGTTGAAAATGTCTCAGCACCAGTGCCGTTTCAACCTCCGGTCCAGTTTCAGAACCGCTCCCAGTCCTGGCACCAGGTGTCTCATAGCCTGGCTCCTGCCTGTTCCTTCACCCCTGCACCCGTTGCTTCCTCTGCACAGAAAGCCCTTGGAGCACCCCACATGTGTCAAGTGCTTCCACAGCCTGGGCACATGCTTTCCCCCTCTCTGAGGAGCTCTCAGCTCTCCCTTCATCCTGCAGTTATTTTCTTACATCGTATTTTGTTTTGACTCAGAAGGCATACGTGCATGTGTGTGACATGAGTATATTGTACACTGCTGAGGATTGGGTTTCTGGTGAACCCATTTCCCAAATAGCGAACATTGTACCGACAAGTTATATTTCAGCCCTCGTCCTCATGATCCTCCCCCTTTTGAGAGTCCCCCATGTCTATTGTTTCCATCTTTATGTCCATGCGTACCCAGTGTTTAGCTCCCACTTGTAAGTGAGAACATGCAGTATTTGGTTTTCTGTTTCTGAGTTAGATCACTTAGGATAGTGCCTCCAGCTCCATCCATGTTGCTGCAAAGGTCACGATATCATTCTTTTTTTATGGCTGCATCATCCAGTTTTTGTTTTGTTTTGTTTTTTTTGAGACAGACTCTCACTCTATCGCCCAGGCAGGAGTGGAGTGGTGTGATCTTGGCTCACTGCAACCTCCGCCTCCCAGGTTCAAGAGATTCTCCTGCCTCAGCCTCTCAAGGGCCTGGGATTATAGATGCGCATCACCACGCCTGGCTAATTTTTGTATTTTTGGTACAGACGGGGTTTCACCACGTTGGCCAGACTGGTCTCGAACTCCTGACCTCAGGTGATCCCCCCGCCTCGGCCTCCCAAAGTGTTGGGATTACAGGCGTGAACCACTGCGTTTGGCCATCCAGTTATTTTTACTCGTAACACTGTCTCGAGACCTGAAGAGCAGATGAGATGCCCTCTCTGGGCTCCACATCCCCCTGGGATGCCTTGTCCGGGGATTCCTATCACACTGTTGTAAACGTCTCTTTATCTGTGAACACCTGGAGGGCAGGGAGTCTACGGCATCATCCTGGGCACCTGTAGGTGCTCAATAAATATTTTTTGAAGAGCTGACATGAAATTCTTTTTGAAAGGAGGGAGGAGTGTGAATGAATAAACAATCAGTAACTAGTATACTCCTGCAAGTGTGTCCTGAATGCCTGGCAGTGTTCTAAGCACGTAATAGGAACCACTCATCAAACCTCCACAACAGTCCTTGAGGCGGGGACCATGACCATCTCCATGTGTTGTGTGAAGAAACGGAGCACAGAGAGGTTCAGTAACTTTACTCAAAGTCACACAGCCAATACGTGAAAGAGCTGGATTTGAATCCAAGCAGTCTGGCACTCAAGTCTGTGCTCTTCATCACTCCACTAGACTGCCAGTCTGAAGAAACACGAGGAAAGGTGAGAAAGACAAAGCAAACAGCAGGGCTCAGAGAGCTCCTTGTGAGTGGATGAGGCTCGTTTATCCATGCGTGTCGATCTTACCTGTGTGGAGGCTGCAGGGGAATGCCACAGGGCCTTTCCCTCTGCATCCTGGAGATGGGAGAACAGGCTCTCTCCAGATGGTAAAGGAGGGGCACCCGTGTGAGTCCGGGACCAGGCTCCTGGCTTGGAACCTCCTGGGCCATGTGAGCTCAGGCAAGAACGCTGACCTTTCAGTCCTTCCTTGCCTGTTCTATACAGCAGGATAACTATACTGCCTACCACATAGATGGCGGAGAATAGAAGTGAGAGGAGGTGCTAGCCCTGGGGCACATACAGGAAGCATTCACTAAATGGTACATGTTATTATTACAGTGGGAACTTTGGAGCCAGGGCAAGGGTGAAGACCCAGTTGTATGACAATGGAAGCTACATACCGCTGCTCTGACCTCACGGATAATTCCATTTTAACTTTAGAATTCCATATGCTTGCTGCTAACTCAGCAGAATCTTAGAGTTCTGTGGTTTATGTTTGCCCAGTAACTGCGTTGGTTGATATGAGTTGCTGTTGGCTGAGTGTAGGAGGTGAGAGCTGGAGGTAGTTGGTGTGTGGAGCAGCTGTCCAGAGTCTAGAGTTGTGGGTTCCAATCCTGGCTCAGCCACTTGCCACTTTGGTCCTCGGTTTCCTCATCTATGAGATAACAATGTATGCCTCATAAGACTATTATAGGGGTTAAATGAGAGTATGTAAAATTACCTGGATAGGGCCTCACTGACAGGATAGGTGGTTTTTCTGTTCACTCTAAAATACATTGACTCCAGATGAATTTTTTAAAAAAGAATAACAACAGTAATAATAATGTGAATTTTATTTTTTTTCAAGCATTTCTGTTCAGGGAGAGAATTAGAGAAATTTCTGTCTTCTCCTTCTCCAAGAGCCATCTGGCTGGATAGCTTTTGGTGGATATTTCATGAGAGGTACCAGGTAAATACAAATCTGCTTGTTTCTCTGCCTTGCTTCAGTCATTTTGCTACAAAACCAATTCCATCCTCTTTGACATGGGCTACAAGCCCTTCTGATCCCATGGAGCACCCCGCAGCCTCACCTGTCACCCGGTCCCCTCCCCACCCATGCCTCAGCCACCACACACCCTGTGCTTCAGCCATTGTGCAATGCCCTGCGGCTCCCCCAGGCTTTAGGAGCTGGTTGCACGGCTGTCACAGGCAGGGTTGAGAGCAGACCTCAGGACTTCTGGGCCAGCGTTAGGGTGCCGTCTTCAACAGCGCTCTGCCTCTGTGTACGTGCTTTGTAAATCTCATCCCCAAAAATGAACACGTTATTTCATAAAGCAAACGAGGCTAAATATCTTGAGAATAAGATTGCTGGAAATGAAAGCAATACTGACTTAAAAATCCCAGCCCCTCAGTTGTTTCAGCAAGGGATTTTAGTAATTCCTTTTTCTTTTCTATTCCTGGCAGCCAAACAAGGAGCTCCAGAATAATCTGTTCGACCGGATAGCCCAGCACTACGCCTTACTTTTGTTTCGTGTACCCAAGTCCCACTATGAAGAGGCGCTCTTAAAAGTGAGCATCAGCCACTGTCTAGAAAAAAAGTCACATTAGATTTCTATTCATTTCTGATGCCAAGAGAATGTCTTAAACATTCTTTACATAAGGGAGTAATTACTAAATCGTGATAATCCATACGCTGACTTGCAATGTAGAAGTTACAAAAATACAGTAGAGCTATTTATACTGATTGGAAGATGCAATGATATATTTAAGTGAAAAAGCAATTTATACAACATATATATATATATATATAAAACCCTGAAAAATATTTACCAAACTCTTAGCAATGCTTATCACTGGGAAGTGAAGTTATAAGAAACTTTCCTCTTTGGGCATGGTGGCTCACGCCTGTAATCCCAGCACTTTGGAAGGCCAAGGTTTGAGGATCACCTGAGGTCAGGAGTTCAAGACTAGCCTGGCCAACATGGCAAAACCCCGTCTCTAAATTGCAAAAATTAGCCAGGAGTGGTGGCGGGCGCCTGTAATCCCAGCTACTCGGGAGACTGAGGCAGGGTTCACGTGAACCCGGGAGGCGGAGGTTGCAGTGAGCCGAGATCGCGGCACTGCACTCCAGCCTGGGCAACAGAGCAAGACTCTGTCTCAAAAAAAAAAGAAACTTTCTCTTTCCATTTTATTATTTATTTTGAGACAGATTCTCGCTCTGTCACCCAGGCTGGAGTGCAGTAGCATGATCTCGACTCGCTGCAACTTCCAATTCCTGGGTTCAAGCAATTCTCCTGCCTCAGCCTTCTGAATAGCTGGGATTACAGGTGCGTACCACCATACCCAGCTAATTTTTGTGTTTTTAGTAGAGATAGGGTTTCACCATGTTGGCCAGGCTGATCTCAAACTCCTGATTTCAAGTGATCCGCCTGCCTCGGCTTCCCAAAGTGCTGGGATTACAGGTATGAGCCACTGTGCCCAGCCTCCCTTTCCATATTATATTTTTCTGTAGTATTTAAATAAGCATATAATTTTAAATTTTAAAATGTGACTATACATATATACTTTTTATATGGGTATATATATATAGATGTATATACTAAAAGGATTGCTAGAAGAAAATATAAGTGAATACTTACATGATTTAGGGATGAAGAAGGACTTCCTTTGTTTTTTTTCCTCTAGAAACAATGTCTGGCTTTGTTGCCAACGTGGTACAATCATAACTCACTGTAGTCTCAAATTTCTGGGCCTGAACTACCCCCCTACCTCAGCCTCCTGAGTAGCTAGGACTACAGGCATGCGCCACCACACCTAGCTAATCCTTTTTTTTTTTTTTTTTGAGACAGAGTCTCTCTGTCGCCCAGGCTAGAGTGTAATGGCACAGTCTGGGCTCACTGCAACCTCCGCCTTCTTGGTTGAAGCGATTCTCCTGCCTCAGCCTCCTCCCAGGTAACTGGGATTATAGGCATGCACCACCACACCCAGCTAATTTTTTCTTTTTGGTATTTTTAGTAGAGACAGGGTTTCACCATGTTGGCCAGGCTGGTCTCGAACTCCTGACCTTAGGTGATCCACCCGCCTCAGCCTCCCAAAGCGTTGGGATTACAGGCGTGAGCCACCGCGCCCAGCCCCATTTTACTTCTTATATTGTGTAGATTAAAGAGTATGGCCAAGTGCAGTGGTACACACCTATATTCCCAGCTACTCAGAAGGCTGAGGCAACAGGATTAGAGGATCACTTCAGCCAGGAGTTCAAATCCAGCCTGGGCAACACAGTGAGAACCTTGTCTCTAAACAACAACGACAAAAACTGTGTATAAAAAAAGAAAGTCCTTCCTCATCCCCAAATCACGTAAGCCAGGGTGGAAATGCTGAGAACGTTGCCTGAGCTCTGCTTGCTCCGCAGAGGCTGCCATCACTTCTGAGCAAAGCCATGTACACCAGCTTCTGTTGCTGCTTCCCACAGTCCTGGTTCAACACGCACGAATTCAAGTCTGACATCTGTAACACAATGAGCCTGTGGATTTCAGGTGAGCGGTGACTTTTTTCCACCGGGGAAAGCGATTCTGGAAAAATGTTTTCCACTGGTACCTAGGTATGTCATTGTTTGCTTTGACACCCTTCATCAAGGCATTCTCTCTTTTCTCTCCTTAACATTAAAGAGAGCAAAGTATGTATGTAGTTGGAGCCCCAAGGAATACAAATTTTCCTGCTTCCTCAAAACAGTTCTGAGACATCCCTTCCTAATCCCTTTTTTTTTTTTTTTTTCCCTGAGATGGAGTCTCTCTTTGTCACCCAGGCTGAAGTGCAATGGTGCGATCTCAGCTCACTGCAACCTCCGCCTCCCAGATTCAAGTGATTCTCCTGCCTCACCCTCCTGAGTAGCCGGGATTACAGGCATGCACCACCACGCCCAGCTAATTTTTGTATTTGTAGTAGAGATGGGGTTTCACCATATTGGTCAGACTGGTCTCAAGCTCCTGATCTTGTGATCCACCCGCCTCAGCCTCCCAAAGTGCTAGGATTATAGGCATGAGCCACAGCACCCGGCCCTTAGCCCCCTTTTTGTGCTCAGCTACATCTGCAGGGAGTGAAGGGCCATATCCTAACAAGATAGCAAAGTTTCAGCACAGCCCTGTTAGTTAACCGTGTGCTGTGGGCTGATGCACGCAGGACTCAGGAACCCAAAAGCAGTATGTGAGTTTAGATCATCCCACCCTGCCACCCTCCATGTGACCCCCCACTGGGCAATCATGTGTCCCTCCCTCCAGCACACTCAGGACCAGCTGGATGCCTGCTTTATCAACCACCTTCCAGTCCCCTCCCCTGATCTCAACCTTGACATTTTCTAAGTTCATTAAAAGCTGCCATGTATCGAAAGGTTCCTGTGTACTAAGTGCTGTGCTAAGTAAGCACTTTTCACATCTCCTATTGTGTTGTGGCTTCCTAAGATCACCCCCATGTTAGAAGATTTGCTGGAAGAACTCACGGGTCTCCGTACATAAGTGTAGTCTCGCTATGATTTATTACAAGAATGTAGTAAGGAAATAGAGCTGGATTATAAGGGAAAAAGGTAGAGTTTGGAGGAATCCATATGCAGACTTCCTTATGCCCCCTCCCTGCCATAAGGAGTCATACAGAACCCACTCATCCCCCTACAACGAAAAGCTAGCAACATGTGTGTGTTGCTTCTGCCCAGGGAAGCCCATTAGAGCTGGAGTGCTCAAAGTTTTCACTGGGATAGTCACATAGACACCTCTGTCTGTCACGTACCACAATTCCAGGACGGCAGGTGTTCAGCATAAGCCACGTTGTTTGTACCAACAGTATAGGCGCAACGAGCCGCTCTTCTTCCATTAGAGAGAGTTTTATATCAGTGGAATAAACTGTTTACTAGCCAGGTTCCCAGAGGCCAGCCAAGGCATCCTCGCAAGCAGGCCTTTCTGAGGACAGCAGTCTCAGGCCTGCTGTCTTAACTCTTTTCTGCACACCCATTTAATCTTCTTCTTTTTTTTTTTTTGAAATGGAGTTTCGCTCTTGTTGCCCATGCTGGAGTGCAATGGCACGATCTCGGCTCACTGCAGCCTCTGCCTCCAGGGATCAAGTAATTCTCCAGCCTCAGCCTCCCGAGTAGATGGGATTACAGGTGCACACCACCACGCCTGGCTAATTTTTGTATTTTTAGTAGAGATGGTGGTCAGGCTGGTCTCGAACTCCTGACCTCAGGTGATCCACCCACCTCAGCCTCCCAAAGTGCTGGGATTACAGGTGTGAGCCACTGCACAGGTGTTCATTCCAGGGCTGTGCCACTCCAAAGCTGGGTCTTTGACTGTTATGCCACCCTGCCTCCCATTTTCTGACTGTCTTCTCTTTTTGCTGTTCCACCTTGCTATTCCCTTTAACATCCAAGGCTGCACCTCCTTACCCCGGTTTATTCCCTGTATAAATAACCCCCCTGTCCACTTTGTCTAGCGGAGCCAGCAGCTTTGCACAGTGGCTCAAATGTCTCAAGTAATCCTTGGAAGCATCACTGTCAAACATATAGAGAGAAACCATTTCTGGCACTAAGCTAAATGTGATCATGTTAAACAAACATTTACTAAGCACCTATTGTATTTATTATGTGCCAGACCTAGAGTCCTAGAGGTATAAAGCTGAAGAAGACCCAGCCCCTGTTCTCAGGGAACTCGTGGTCTAGCCAGAACAGGGGACATGGAAAACAAATAACTATGATGTCTTCACATTTGCAAAGCATGTCAGGGACTCACACACCGGTGTGTTCTGACCCTTACACCCAGCGGACAGGTAGGGCAAGGTCATCATCCCCGTGTTCCGGATGAGGAAGCCTCTAGAGAGGAAGTGATTCACCCAAGGCCACCAGGCTGGTATGGGGCAGGGCTAACACTGGAAGCCCAGCCTCCCAGGAACCAGCAGGGGCTCCCCAGGCCTCTTTTGCAGAAGCCTCCATTCTCACTCTTTTTTAAATTTCTTTTTAAATAGAGACGGGGTCCCACTGTGTTGCCCAGGCTGGTCTCCTGTGCTCAAGTGACCTCCCACCTTGGCTTCTCAAAGTTCTGGGATTACGGGCGTGATCCACCGCGCCTGGCCCCATTCTCACTCTTGCCTCCTCCCTTAGGCACCTATCCTAGCCCACAGAGCTATGACAGCTGGAACTACTCAGAACTAGACCCAGAGCGATTCCGCAGAGAAGAATTAATGTTACACAGAAGAAGACTGATAAAGGGTAAGTTAGCAGTTACAGCCTCCTGCCTTCTTTGCCGCTGCCATACCCAACTACTATCTAACTGAGGGAGGAGAGGCCTTGGCATTGTTGTCCTCTGGTCAGGTTCTCTCTTGGGTACCCCCAAACTAGCCACCAAAATTCTTTGTGCTTGTGGACTGTAGTGTACAACATAATCATTGGGAGGCAGGGGATGGAATTTTGTATTGGAATAGTGGATGCCAGATGATGAGTGTCTACCTATGTGCAAGGCACTGTGATGAGCTCTCTGCCTCTTTTTTTTTTTTTTTTTTGGAGATAGAGTCTCACTCTGTCACCCAGGCTGGAGTGCGGTGGCGTGATCTCGGCTTACTGCAACCTCCGCCTCCCGGGTTCAAGCAATTCTCCTGCCTCATCCTCCCGAGTAGCTGGGATTATAGGCACCCGCCACCAAGCCCAGCTAATTTTTGTATTTTTAGTAGAGATGGGGTTTCCCCATGTTGGCTGGGCTGGTCTTGAACTCCTGACCTCAAATGATCCACCTGCCTCGGCCTCCCAAAGTGCTGGGATTACAGATGTGAGCCCCCGTGCCTGGCCAGCCCATTTTATTTAATCCTCACGACAGCCTGCTGAAGTACACACTAAATCCAATTCACAGATGAGGAAACTAAAGCTCAGAGAAGCGACTTGTCCAAGGTCAGCTTTTCTGTTGTACTCAGCAGACACATGATGAGCTCTGGGTGCCAGGTACTCTGCTCAGCACTGGGAACACGGTGGTGGTGGCAAGCCCAGTCCCTCTGTTGCAGGGCCAAGGAACCCCAGAATTGGGACTTCTGCCTGGAAAGGTTCAAGGCGTTGCCCAGGAAGGAATTCAAGGATGAGCTGGGGGTAGAACAAAGTGTCTCACCTTGACTATGGCAGCCCTCTGACTGCTTCTGCAGAGTAGGGCTACCCCATAAGCAGTGTGTTGAGAACAAGAGCTCAGGGCCAGTTCTGCAGGCTCATTTATACCCATGTTTAATTACAGGCAAATTAAGGGGCAGGTTATTCAGAAATTTCTGGAAAAAGGGGTGGTAAATTCCAGGTCCGGTCATTGCTAGGGAATGATAAACTGACTTGACGCCTGGTGGGCATGTCTTAGGGAGCTAGTCTTCAATTAGGTCTGGAGTAGAGTTCCACCTCCAACCTCACCTCCTTATGATCTGGTGGGAAATTCAGGCCACACAATTGTCCTGCAAGGGATTGGGCACTGCACTGGAGGGATTCAATCCAGCCCTGAGAAGGCTAGTACGTGGCGTTTGAGTTGAGATTCGAAGGGTGTGTTGGTCCAAGGACCTGCAGCATCAGTATCTCTCCAAATCTACTGACTCCGACTCTGCAGTTGATCAGGAGGACTTCCAGTGATCTAGAAGCATGTTCTAGTTTGAGAAGCCCTGGTTTAGGGCACAAAGGAAGAGAATACCTGAAACCCTTGGAGCAGAGCACGGTGGTGGTTACTAGCTGGAAATGATAAGCTGGCACTCACTCAGGGCCAGACGCTTTTTGGTTTTTTTTTGAGACAGACTCTCGCTCTGTCGCCCAGGCTGGAGTGCAATGGCATGATCTCGGCTCACTGCAACCTCCGCCTCCCAGGTTCAGGTGATCCTCCTGCATCAGCCTCCCAACACTTTTACCTGTTAGCTCTCTAAGCATTTCCATTTCTTGATCCCTTCATAGATATGATTTCCCAGTAGTCATCATGCACACTCAGGGAGGTTTTTTTTCCTCTTCTTTTCTTTTCCTTCCTTCCTTCCTTCCTTCCTTTCTTTCTTTCTTTCTTTTTTTTTTTTTTTTTTAGACAGTCTATGTCACCCGGGCTGGAGTGCAGTGGCGTGATCTCAGCTCACTGCAACCTCTGCCTTCTGGTTCAAGCGATTCTCGAGCCTCAGCCTCCTGAGTAGCTGGGATTACAGGCATGCGCCACCACACCCGGCTAATTTTTGTATTTTTAGTACAAAAATACAGGGTGAGACAGGGTTTCACCATGTTGCCCAGGCTAGTCTCAAACTCCTGAGCTCAAGCAATCTGCCCACCTTGGCCTCCCAAAGTGCTGGGATTATAGGCGTGAGCCACCGTGCCCGGCCGACTCAGGGAGTTTTTTCAAAGTGAAGAAAAACCTAACCCATAAATTGTCTGAGTTTAATGACATTTTAATGAATATTAAATTTAACAGCTATGAATTTGATAGATTGTTTCTTAAGCATTTAAGCATTTTAATTTTGCAGAGCTCCAAACTGGTTTTTCTTCTGAAGCCAGTCCTTTTTTTCCTGTGGGTTGAGTGTCTACCCTATGCACAGGGCTGTGTATACATTATTATTATTATTATTATTATTATTTTTGAGACAGAGTCTTGCTCTGTCGCCCAGGCTGGAATGCAGTGGCGCGATCTCGGCTCACTGCAAGCTCCGCCTCCCGAGTTCACGCCATTCTCCTGCCTCAGCCTCCAGAGTAGCTGGGATTACAGGAGCCCGCCACCATGCCCGGCTAATTTTTTGTATTTTTTTTTTAGTAGAGACGGAGTTTCACCGTGTTAGCCAGGATGGTCTCGATCTCCTGACTTCGTGATCCACCCACCTCGGCTTCCCAAAGTGCTGGGATTGCAGGCGTGAGCCACCTTGCCCAGCCCTGTGCATACATTATTTCCTTTAATTGGTGCATTCACCCTAGAGGGAGATACTGTGCACAGTCTAACAGGATCAGGGTTGGGTAACTTGCCCAGCAGGTGGAGTCAACAGACTTTCTGGGTGTCACTCTCTCCAGAAAGGAGGCTGTTTCAAGCTCCTGGGCTGCAATCTTCATTGCCCCATGACAAGACGAACTAATAACAGCTTTTTCCCTTCTATAGGGAGAGAGTTTTCTTTGTTTGCTGGTACGAGAGCCTTCTCCCAGAAGCCAGGCCAGAGCAGGAAATTCTGCCACCCTCAGGTAAGTGGGGAGGCACAGACCAGGACCCCTTGGGGCCCCATAAGCTTCAGAAACCGTGGGTTCTTCTGGAGCATCAGTGGCCTCCTGTTAGTTGCACATCTCTGTACCCCTTGCCCAGGTCTACCCCATCTTCTAAGTGAGAAGCCCCGGGAGGCTCCTCACTTGGGTGGGTAAGTGGGTGGGTAAGTGGCGCACTAAGTGGGTAAGTGGCGCACTAAGGCGCATTCACAGAAATGTAGCGATTGAGAAGAGAAAGGGAAGGAACCAGGTTTTCAGTGTAGGCTGCAGTGCAAGATGCTTTTACTTATTTTTTTCTCCACTAATCCTCATGGCAAACCTGAAACCTAGCAGTCATCCCTGATACCTACTTTATCCTCTGCCCTATTGATGTTCCTTCTGACGTACCTCCCAGAACCACCTGTTTCTCACTCTTCCACTCCCACCACCCTAGTTTGAGTTCCCATCACTACTGCAGTAGGCACCTAACTGGTCTCCCTCAGGTTCTCAGATACTTCTAGGGCCATCTTTTCAAAGTGCAAAGCTAAGTACATCATCCCATCACCACCTGACTCTATCCTATCCCCCGACCCTAAAAACCCTACTTCCAGGCCAGGCACAGTGACTCATGCCTGTAATCCCAATACTTTGGGAGCCCGAGGCAGGCAGATCACTTGAGGCCAGGAGTCCAAGACCAGCCTGGTCCACATGGTGAAACCCCGTCTCTACTAAGAATACAAAAATTAGCCAGGCTTGGTGGCACACACCTGTAGTCCCAGCTACTCAGGAGGCTGAGGCACAAGAATTGCTTGAACCTGGGAGGCAGAGGTTGCAGAGAGTTGAGGTCACACCACTGCACTCCAGCCTGGGTGACAGAGCAAGACTCTGTCTCAAAAAAAAAAAAAAAAAAAAAAAAGTCCTACTTCTAGCCGATAAAACTACACCCTCCACACCCCAGAATGCTTCCTCTGGCCTTTAGAGTAGACTGACTTGCACAGCTTTGCTCATCTAGCTCAACCCCTTTTCCACCCTCCTGGGCTCTCAGAGGTCCTGCCATGGGGGACTTCTTTCAGTTCCTTGTATACCACACTCCCTTCCTGTATGTGGCCTCTGTACCTCCTGTTCTTCTTGTCCCAGGTAAACTCCCATCACCACTGCCATTGTCACTGTCAGCATTTCCTCCCAACTCCCAAGTCCAGAGACATTGAAAGCATGCAGTTAGCCAAATGCCACAAATAAAGGCCTTTTTTTTTTTTTTTTCCTTTTCTGAAGAACTGGAAAAAAAAAATCCAGGGCAGGGTTTAGCAAACTATGAATCAGACCTTTCACTGCCTGTTTTTGAAAATAAAGCTTTATTGGCGCACAGCCATGGCCATTCATTTACTGTTGTCTACAACTACCTTTGCACTGAAACAGCAGAGTTGAATACTTGCAATAAAGACTTTATGACCTGGAAAGCCAAATATTTGTCATGTGGCTTTTTGCAGAAAAAGTTTGCCAACCCCTGGTCTAAGAGATATATAGTCATCCTTCCATCTCAGTTCAGATTCTTGTAGGGAGGGAAAAAAACCTTTTATCTACCCTCTTAGGCAAAGTGTATGGATCCCTACAAGTTAAACTGACAAAAGACAGACAGTGTAACAGGAAACAGGCATTCAAATTTTATTTGATGTTCATATTTTTACATGACACAGGACTTCATTGGAAAAAAGTGAAAACCTCAAAGAAGTGGCTAGGTCTGAGAGTTCACATACCACCCTAACAAAGAGCAGTTAATTGTGGAGATGTGACAAGACAAAGGAAAAGAGGTTTGGGCTTCCAGGGATGGTAAATTGTGGGAAGGTAAATATATGGGAGAAACTAATGGAAGATAAGGATTCAATATATATATCAATAAGATTTGTATATGCAGATTCAAGGGTGCTATCTCCAGTGATAAGTTGTCTCTTCTTCCTGATACTGGAGATGGGAAGCAGGGACACCTTCACAAAGGAAAATTTATGCTCTGCTTTTAGATGGAAAGTGGAATTTTAAAGAGATTTCCTGCATCTGCTGTTTTTCAATTGCCTTCAGCTCAAAATAATTCTTATGCAAAGTGGCCTATTTTGGGATGACAGATTCTGACCCCCTTCACTCTCATCCTCAGGGTCAGCGTTCTGCCCCTCTGGGCTGGATGAGGATCCTTGTTATACAGACCAATGTCCCTTTCCTTCAGAGCACTCATGTAATTATTTGGTTATTACTGTGATCATGGCTGTTTCCCGCCCCCCAATCTTTTTTTTTAATTGGTTTATTCTTTTAGAGACAGGGTCTCACTCTGTTGCCCAGGCCAGAGTGCTGTGGTGTGATCATAGCTCACTGCAGCCTCAACCTCCTGGATTCAAGTGATCCTACTGCCTTAACCTCCTGAGTAGCTGGAACGTGTCACCATGAATTTTTAGTAGAGGTAGGTGGTCTTGAACTTCTAGCTCAAGCAGTCTTCCCACCTCAGCCTCCTGAAGCACTTCAATTATAGGTGTGAGCCACCAGGCCCAGCCTCCCCACTAATCTTTACACCCTAGGAGAACATTCCCACTTCTAGTACCTGAATGCCCCATTTCTAATACATACTTCCTTAATAAATGGCATTAGAGACTACATTCATTAAGACAGCCTCCTCTGGCTGGGTGCAGAAGCTCAGCCTATAATCCCAGCACTTTGGGAGTCCGAGGTGGACGGATCACAAGGTCAGGAGATCGAGACCATCTTGGCTAGCACGGTGAAACCCCATCTCTACTAAAAATAGAAAAAATTAGCCGGGTGTGGTGGCGCACACCTGTAGTCCTAGCTACTGGGGAGGCTGAGGCAGGAGAATTGCTCTAACCCAGGAGGTGGAGGTTGCAGTGAGCTGAGATCGTGCCACTGCACTCCAGCCTGGGTGACAGAGCAAGACTCTGTCTCAAAAAAAAAAAAAAAAAAAAAAAATATATATATATATATATATGTATGTTCTCACAGGTTCAGATTCTAGCTGTGTGGCCTCAGGCAAGTTATTTGACTTCCCTAAGACTTTGTTTCTACAGGTCTAAAATAGGTATAACAACCATGGTGCCTTCTTGCAGACATTCTGAAGACTGTGCGACCCCATAGCTCAGAAGGGCACTCAGCGCTGCCTGGCCGCACCACTGTACTGCCCTAGCATGCCCAGGTTCTCCCACCTTCAAAACACTTCCCCTGCAGGGCGTCCTTCCCCACCTGCCCTCCCCCCCAGCACCACCCAGGGAAGGTCTTCACTGAGAAATCACGAGCAGTCAGCAGGAAGGCCCGTGCCTTCCCACCACCAAGACATCCTGCCCCGCTCTGCACCCTCGCCGTCTGCCATCTCTGTGCCTACGGAGAGGCCCTGCTCCCCTCCCAGCTCAGTCCCCAACCTGTGTTCTGAACCTCGGCCCTCTTGGCTTCCCAAGGAGAGCCTTGCCCTTTTTTTTTTTTTTTTTTTTTTTTTTTTTTTTTTTTTTTTTTTTTTTTTTTTTTTTTTTTTTTGGCTTTGCCTTCACCAGGGGAGATGCCGCTCTACTGCAGTCCGCCCCTTAGCTTTCCTGCTCGCCTCCATTATCCGCCCCCTCGCCATTTTTTTGTTTTTTAGTGCGGTTCATTTCCTCCCGATCTCTGTGGGCCGTCTCTCCCGTCACTGAACAGCGGTGCTTTCAGCATCTCTTATCTCAACTCCACATCCCCATCTTCTGCTCCCTTTCACTCCAGAACTTCTTTTTTTATGAGACGGAGTTTCACTCTTTTTTTTTTTTTTTTTTTTTTTTTTTTTTTTTTTTTGAGACGGAGTCTCGCTCTGTCGCCCAGGCTGGAGTGCAGTGGCGCGATCTCAGCTCACTGCAAGCTCTGCCTCCCGGTTCACGCCATTCTCCTGCCTCAGCCTCCCGAGTAGCTGGAACTACAGGCGCCCGCCACCTCGCCCGGCTAGTTTTTTTTTTTTTTTTAAATTTTTTAGTAGAGACGGGGTTTCACCGGGTTAGCCAGGATGGTCTCGATCTCCTGACCTCGTGATCCGCCCGATGAGACGGAGTTTCACTCTTATAGCCCAGGCTGGAGTGCAGTGGCGCAATCTTGGCTCACTGCAACCTCCGCCTTCTGGTTTCAAGCGATTCTCCTGCCTCAGCTTCCTGAGTAGCTGGGATTACAGGCTTGTGCCACCATGCCCGGCCAACTTTTTTTGTATTTTTAGCAGAGACAGGGTTTCACCATGTTGGCCAGGCTAGCCTCGAACTCCTGACCTCAGGCGATCCACCCACCTCGGCCTCCCAAAGTGCTGGGATTACAGGCGTGAGCCACCGCACCCGGCCCAGAACTTCTTGGAAGATGCCTCTGTAACCCCATCTCTGCCTGGCTACTCCTGTCAGGTTCCTACCCTCGGCAGCCACTGCAGCTGCTCTTGGCAACAGCGCGGGGACCGCACTGGCTTGGACTGAGTCACTCCTCTAACCTGTTTGGTGTGGTTGGCCACTCCCATCTTCTTGAGACGCTTTGTTCTCTTGGCTTCTTTGTTGCTAGACTTTTGACAGTGTCTTCCTTCCTCACTGGCTGACCCCTCTCCATCTTCTCTGCCAGCTCCCTGTCCTGTCAGTCTACTCTTTCCCAAGCCCCCTTCCTTACTATATCTACATGTTCTCCCTGGGTGGCCTCATCTGGTCTGGTAGCTTCAAATACCGCCCACACGCCAGTGACCCACCTTCGTCCTGGCCTCTCCCGGAACTTGCACTGGTCTGCCCACCAGCCCTCTCAGCCACACCAGGAGGATCTGAGACTTAGCCAGGTGAGGAAAGCACCTGACTCCTAGCCCCCGATGTTCTCTCTTGCCGGGCTGACTGCAGCAGCTGCCACCTAGGCTCCTTTCTTTTACTTGTAGCTCCAACCCAGCCTCCACACAGTGACCAGAGTAACCTTTTACAGGTATACATCAGATGGGGTCATTCCTGCTTGAAACCTCCAATAACTTCTTCATTGCATTT